AAATGTCAATAAATTCGAAACAATACACCGTATGAAGAGTAAAGTGAGCTCTCTCTGCCGCACACCGATTGGAGGAGGGAGTAAAGTCACAAATCGGCCAAGTGTGTATGCACACAGAGCGAATAGGAAATAATTATATTAATAAGGAAGAGCGACGGGTGAATGAGGAACAGAAGAGAGAGAGAGAGAGAGAGAGAGAGAGAGAGAGAGAGAGAGAGAAAGAGAAGGCGATGAACGAACGGCATGTGGCAAAAATCTTCAATGGGTACATATGATGTAAACCCGACGATTGAACGATAAAAGTGTCGGGAAAAGTGTGGTGCAGAAAACCGAAAATCATGTCGCGTCGACCAAATTATCACAATATTTGATTATCGCGCGCGTAATACTCTTCAATTTTATTGCAATTTCATTGTGCTGAACAGGGGCATGGCATTTCAATTTGATACCGATCGAATCCGATTTTCCTCAGCAGTGACACAATAAACGCTTGTGCGTTCGTTCATTCGTTCGCATGGTCTCTTTTTCGTTTTGCGCGAATTCATAAATTATTGATTATCATTGAATGTTTGTTCAATTTGTTGTTTTTTTCTCTCTATATAGTTTGGTCTCCACCCCGGTCTGTGGCTATATAAAAACCGGCTCGTATTCACCATACGATCGATTCAATTCAAAATATGTGTATATGACATATCACCATTATCCTAATAACATTGAACGAAAATAAACGCTTCGTATTGTGTTGCTATCGATGGAAACCAGCAAAAAAGAGAGTAGCATACGAAAGATATCGTTTTTCATGTGTGTGTGTGTGCATGTGTGAAGGGAATCAAAACATCCGACTGACTGTTCGATTTGATATAAGGGTGGCTCCAATGCCAAAATGGTTACGTACTCTATGACAACTGAAATTGTAGCAAACGAACAACTTTGTGAATTTTCGACGTGAATTATATTGCATTGGATATATATATGGAAACCGCGATATAGCTATATGCATTTCCGTTCTGTCTGTGATAGAGCAATGCCGTAAAATAGAGAAGAGAACCAAACCAAACCGAACAGAAAAGAAGGCGACAAGTGATCGCGCGTGAACGCTTTCGACTCACGACATTTCCCTCATTTAAACACATGCAACCAACGACTTACTATGTGCATTGCCTGATTCATAAATGGTGTCGGTAGTGCAAAAATTGACAGGAGCCAGACAGGATAAAGTTATGCGGAAAAAAGAAGTAAATGTAATACGGCAAAGTACACACACACACTTATACAAACACAATCTATGCGCTATGTACAACAGTAAACTGTTTGCATTGTTCGTATCAACTTATTCACACAGTTAGCAGACGATTACAACCAGTAAATAAGCGGCACAAATTTCAGCAACATGACATTGCAATACATAATTTTCAGTTACCATCGCGATAGCAAAATGCAAACGGTTTTCCTTTCTCTCGGTGGATGTGTACACTGTACAATGCATTTGTGTTGTATGTGCGTGTGTGTGAGAGAGAGAGATAGAGCAAAAGAAAGCAATAGGAAGCGATAGAGACCGAGAGGGGGAGTTGTGCATTCCATTTGAAGTACCATTGGCAGTGGTGTTGTTGTTGCCATCGTCGCCACCGCCGCCATCCTCACTGCTCTCTTCTGGTCGTTGCTTTTCCATGCACCATCGTTCATCATGCACAAAACCGTATTTGCTCATGAATCGTGCTTATGTTGTACATTGTGGATGTTATGTGTCTGGTTTGTCTGGGTTATTACTATTATTTCGATCAATGTCGGGAAGCATTTTGCAGCTCCATGTTTAAGTAATCATTTATTTATGAAGTAAACCGAGAAAGAGACACACTCACTCACTTACACAGAGAGTTTGAGGAACATCGAACAATATGGCCGCATTTCCCGAATTTAATTGACTTCAAAATTGTATTGACAACTTTAATTCGAATGTGAATCAATTTCAGTGTCCAAAATATGATTGGTTGATGGAGAGAGAGAGAGAGAGAGAGAGAGAGAGAGAGAGAAAGGCGCCATTTCATGAAATTCATTTTTTGTCCATCCACCCCAAAACCGAGATATATTTTTTTCCAACTAGCCGCCGATGCATTGTATGTGTCTGTGTGCAAATGGTTTGAGTCCGTCAAATTGAGAGCAACAACCCGGAAGCGACACTACTGATTTTCAAATGAGATGTGATTTCAATGTGAAATAAACTCAATTATCTATCGATCACATCATGTGCTGATTGAAAAACATTATTAATTACATTCATTGCAACATTTGTGTCCCTTCAATTTCGGTCTCAAACTTTTTTCTTTCGCATGGCAGCAGGGAAAAAACAAGAAAAACAGCAACAACCGTTGAAATGGCGCAAGTCAGACACTCATACGTATGTACTATAAATCAATCTATATATATATATATATATATTGTTTGGGATTTGCATTTTCATGCAACAAAGTCGCGCGTATATATACATAATCCATATTGCCTGCATCGCATGTCTGTGGCTGTGCAAAAATCTACGCAAAAAACATGCACACACATTCAACAGATTTGTCACGTTACAATATTTCTTCCGTCTGTCTACGAAATGACTGGGTTGCTAGTTTGCTCCTGTTGTTGTTGTTGTTGTTGTTTCTGCTGTTGTTTTCATCACTCGGTACTTTTTTTTGTTCGTTCGTGTCCTGTCTCCCCATGAAAATTCATTCATTTCATGCCATTTTTTAAGTGGTTGGTTTAAAACGCGAGACAGAGACAAAGAGATCTCAAAAACACTTGATATGAACCCTCAGCAAAGTCGTGTGTTCTTTGTGCTTTTTGTTTATTTCTCTATTGTTTCGTATATCGTTCTCCTATATTCCTGTTCCGCAAACGACGATGAAACAGAAAAAGAAGCAGCAGCAGCAGCAACAGAAAAAAAACCCTTTGTAAATCATGATTCGGTTCGTGCATCGTTGCAATTGAGTCAGGGGTCGAATCATTTTGTGGTGGAGGAAGAGAAGAAAAGCAGCAGCAGTGAAAAAAGTATTTATGCTAAAGTGGAAATCGCAGACACTGAACACACATACATATAAAATCAACGCACGACCAGACTGTCAATCGATGAGGATGGCGGCAGTGACGGTGGCGGCGGAGGCGATAACGAATATACCGTTTAAAACAAATAAAATACTATATAATTTCAGTGGAAATAAAATGTGAACGTGTGTGAGAGCTGATGGCATTACGTGAAAATACGTTGATTTGCCGACGGTTTTTCTTCTTCTTCTTCTTCTTCTTCTTCTTTGAATCGTCTATATTGTGTTCGCTTACAGCGTTCGATCAACTCTGGATGGGTAATGCAATATCATAATGGATGATGTGTATGTGTGAAATTTATAGCATTCCGAATTCATGTCCATCGATATATCAATGACTCGTATTACAAATGAAATCATGTTCTAATAATAAACCATGCACAGTTAGGGGAAGAAACTCGGCTCATGCAATCTAACTCACCGACGCAATAAAATGATCGATGTAACTCGCCAAAGGTATCTTAGCCAACAACACTTGATTAATTATTTCACAGTGTATTGTTTCGATACCAACCGGAGAAATAGAGTGCAATATTTTCTATTTTTTTTTCGCTCATGTTTATAAATAAATAAATGCCGTAGCTAGACATATTTGTGCACATGCATAGAAGAAATTAATGACGGTAATTGCATTAAATCATTTTAATGATTTTTCTTCCCTTTATATCCGGTAAAAAATATATCCGTGTGTGTCAGGATATATCGTACAGACGACAACAGTGCATTATGTGTGCTATTGCACGGTTAAGCGAAACAAGTCGAAGTGCGGTGCATTTTAACGACACAGCAAAAGAATACACACGCGGAGAGAGAGAGAGAGAGAGAGAGAGAGAGAAGGAGGGAGAGAAAATGTCAAGCGGAACGGTAGAAAGAAGAAAAAAGAACCCAATACGGCAATAGCACAGAGAGCGAGAACATGTGTAGAAGAAGAAGGAAAAATGTGTTGTTCGTGCTGTGGAATGAGGTCACAGACAACCCCCTTATGCATATATACACCATCTATAGAACGCTTGTGCATGGCCAATGCACTCGGCACTGTACGCGCTTGATGCTTTCCAGCCACTACTCAACGAACCATATGTATATGATATATGTATACGTGCATTACAGAGCGTACGACAGGCGAGCAAACAAGCGAACGGATTGTGCGCACCGCGCGCACACATCAAGCATACGACGATATGAATGGCAAGCGAAAATAAATAGGAGCAACATTGGCTTCAATAAATGCAATACAACACCACTATATGTGCCCGTGAATGTAACCGACTATGGCAACAACAACAACAACACTTCACATCACATATATACCGATAAATGCATATATACACGGTGGTGGATGTTTTGTGCGTTCGTCGACCTTGTGCAACATTTACGCATGCGTTTTTTTCCTCTTCCGAACCGTTTATATTTCAATACATTTTGTGCTGCATACACACATGGCACGGCAAGGGGGCTGTTCGGCAGACACAAGGCAGCAGGCTAAATAACGGCAAATTATAACAACATCAAATGGCAAACACAAAAACGATTATGGATCAATATAACAATCGAGACCAATGCATGAATTTTCAATTTTGAAAAGAAAGAAAAGAACAAAAAACAAAAAATACTCGATGACGACGACGATGACGATAGCACACGGTCGATTCTAATCAATTTCTACATCGTTTACCTAACGATTTCAAATTTGAATGGATGGAAACGACCATGATCTTGAAATTCATTGAAAACCCATGGAAATACATTGTTATTTTTGTTTAGACAATTATATATTAACCAAGCATAAATTAAACTAGTTTATATTTGAATTCATTGCTTTTTATTTTAATCAATACAGTTTCAATGTCATCACATATTTTATTGGAAAAAAAGGAGAAATCATGAATTCAAAATGATTTGATTTATTTTCAAGCACTGTGAATGATCGATCCAAAATTTGAACTTTTAAAGGGAGTCTGGATCATATTGCATATCATCTGATGTACACCTGCTGTTATTTTCACGTGGAATTAGTACAAAAGACTTTTTTTTATGTTCCGAACAAATGTGGTATGGTATCAAAGACTCACCAATTGACTGTAGAGGACACCGAGAATTTTTTCGGCTGAAGCGAATATTTCATGACGGCACCTTGATGGGAAATGTACGAATTTTCAAATATTTCTCATTTATATTTGACACAATTTCTTTGGGCCACCAATATGTCGCACTTACTCTTCTTTTTCATTTTCAGTGAAGCGGTTCGAGCAGTCCCCGAAATCAGTGGTTTTGTTGATCAAATTTTGGCGATATTTATCCCAGAGTGATTCACAATCGAGTTCCATGGCGTATTGATCGATTTGTGTTAGTGCGCATTCGAGAAAGTTATAATAGTCATCGAATGGTACACCAAATTCACGGTTTACAAATTGGTAAACGCGTGCATTGGATACTGTTACAGCCAACAAAAATGTGACGGCAATTAAAACTTTCATTGTTTTCTTTGGTTCTTTCAAAAACTGCGCCTTCAAGTCAACTGATACATTTTTGTGAAAATTTCACATTTTTATAATGGAATCGAGGTATTGGTTCAAGTTTTTCCCAAAACACCTTCCCAACGACTTGTTGGACAAATTCCATTTATGATAAGTTGAAAAGAAATTCGGCTTGGAAACTCGATGTGATAGTAAATCAAAGTGCATTGTTATTTGGCGCTTTTTGGTGATAAGAATTACCTGACTAGGTATAATTTGAACTTTTATCATTGTCACAGTCATTTAAAAGCTCTTTATCTGATTTCTTCGGATACCGACATACAATTATTCTACACTTTAAAAATCGAAAATTCTATATAGGTACATGTGTATGGGTGCGATTGAGAGCAGTGTATTTCTTTTCACTTATTCAGTGAAGAATGAATCTATGTCAGTGACAACTTATAAGTTATAAATTATAACAAGTAAGTGTTTTCACGAAAATAGATGGTCTTGCCAACAATAGTTCGACTCATTCTCCCTTTTTTATGAAAAAATAAAATTCATTTATTTTCTCTATACATAATAGGACCGTGTGGCGGCTGTTGAACGTCAAAGTCATTTGAGGCGACGCGAGCGCCCCCAATTTCAAAGGGCACATCAATGTAATTTAACATTTCAAATCGGAACTACACAGCGCGCCAATTCGAAATATAGGAAAATATAGTGTCAACAGCCGCACCATGAATAGGACAATTGTAATAAATTGAATAATAATTGCTGATGAATAGCATAGTAAAAATGCTGATTCACTGTTTTCTGTGTTACATTTCAGCATGACCCCATATATTTCTGCAATCCCATTTTAATTTGGAGTCACACCATTCCAAGACTTTCGTTGAAAATTACAAGGAAATTTTACAAATTCCTCGTTTTTTTTCACGCCATTTCTAATTGCGTGATCACTGGATGACATTCAGTGGATATCCTGTGTGGGTGCACAAGCTTTTCAAGAGCATGAAAGTTCAGTTTTTATCAAAAATGTTCATTTCATTCCCATTTTTATCGCGTGCTTATCAATCGGAAGAATAAAAACAGGAAACTTCTTCTAATTTGGCAACAAGGACCGATTTTAATCATGAATAAAAAAAAACGATTTGAAATTTAAGAACAAAGTCCAATGTTTATATAGATCAAAAATACAGAACTTATTTTATGTACCCTAAGAGCTATTTCAAATGCGTTTTTTTCTTTCTTGACAACCATTCTGATCAATGATGGTTTATTTTTGTGTCAAAAAAATTTGTAAAGTCGTAAATAAAAGCAAAAAAAAAACGAGAGCGGTTCAAGAATTAAAGAGCAAAGCTTCTTCTGACTAAAAACCTTTTTTTTTTTTATTTTAAGTTAAAAACTCATGAAACAGTGAAAGAAATCAAGATAAATCAAAAAGTTTATTGCAATAATTATAACTTTATCGAAACATAATTCCAAATTATTGTCTGCTTTCGGTTGTCTTTGAGCTCGACAACCCAAGCCATTGAAACCATTTCAAGCAAAAGGGTAAACATGCGATTTCTAAGCGTGCTCATCTTTTCGCTACACAAATCTTCTCACAATTCGAAATAATTCCCATTCTCACTGTCGAAACATACACATATATTCGAAATGTGAAACATTTCGCATTAAAATGGCCATGGTTGTGAGCGCCGGTACGTTTCGCATGATTCATGTGTCTGCTGTTTGGGAAAAACTTGCACCACATACACTACAATGTGTTGTGCATACGGCAAGTATTATATATCATCCCGGCAACTTCGTCCCTTCGTTAAAGTACTACATGCATACACAGTGGACTGACATTGAATAACGGCATTTAATTGGATTGGGAAACGCACAACGCCAACAGATCAATACAACAATTTTCGGATAATGACGCGATTCCTTGGAATCGTACACCTTTTTGAACTTCAACAGTTCACGTAGACTTGTAATGAGTTCACATGCAGTTACAATTATGCGAATGAAGGACACCATACATTTGAATTTTTTTTTAATGAATTGCCATTGCCCATAGCAATTGTATGCTTTCATTTCAATTGATCCAGTTTAAAGTGTTGACCATTGTCGATAAATCAATAGTGAATGAATGATAAGCGAATTGTTATCTTGAATGAAATGCAGTGCAAACACATGTGAATTCAAATGATATAGCCACCAAGGAATTTTATTGTATTTTTTTTTACTCTTGCAAAAATTGAAAACCATTCATCGTATCTAACGTTTTCCCAAACGAAGTTTTCACAACGACTTCTCGATTCGAAGTGGTTCAAGTCAAAGAACTCTCTTCAAATTATACGTAAAAGGTCTTTCACATTTCTCGTAGATTAAGCTGGGATTTTCTTCAAAATTCTTCCAATCACTTTTTGATCAAATAAATGAAAATGAAATGAAATCGTTCTCAGAATTATAGTATCTATCCAAACGTACGCTAATTTCTGAGAGATTACGATATTCTGAGAATTTAAAACGAAAACAAAAAATTTGCTAGCGGCTACACGAATATTTTGTTCGCTCTTTTGAACTGTTGAGATGGGTCAAAATTCCTTGAACCTTTCACAAACACACAAAATAACTCAATTCGCAGAAAACGGAGGTGAATTTTTTTTTGAATACGTACAATTCGTTTCAATTTTAATGATGCTTTTTATTTCTTATTTTCCGGTTTAATCGATGAATCTCACAGGCGCACATTTTCTCAACATAAAATTGGTAAAAATCGTATTTTGATATGCCACACTGTTCAATATAAAAAGCTATGATTCCAATTGAATGTCCAAACAACGATGCTATTCTTGGATATGTGTTCATAACTATGGACTGAAACGCATACTATCGGGTTGACAATTCAAAATTGTAAGTGGAACGATTTTGTAGCACATGTCCTTGTTTTTGTCCTGCACGAAATAAAAATGGTTTAATTTAGAATAAATTTGATTTAGATTTAACTCTTATCCAGAATCTACTTCACTATTGAATTGATTTTCATTTGAAATAAAACACTTATGACTTTGGAAAAATTACCAATTGATTATAGAACTGATCAAGAACGCGTTCACCAGCTGTAAAACACTTGTATCGGCATCTAAAATAAAATAATTTTCCAATTAACATATCGAATTTCAACTAAACACTGAAACGATTTTTGAACTTACGCATCAGCTCCATATCGAGTTGGGCGATTGGCGCATTCTTCAAAATCGGTGATCATATCGAGATAATCCTGTCGATATTCTTCCCAAGCGTCGTTGCACCCATGGATTTTGGTGGATTTATCGGCTTCCTTTGGTACACATTGCATGTATGTGTAAATGTCTCGCAATGGATAACTAAGTTCGGATTGATCGTGTGGCGTAGCGCAAACGGCAGCAAACAAAAATGCTACAGCAACGAAGAATTTCATTTTGGTTTCGTGTTATAATACGCCGTTGATACAAGTCTCAGAATAAACTGGCGAATTTGCTGCAAATGCATTCGCTTCAATAATTTTTAATCAATCAATCGTCGCACTCATTCAAAACAATTGAACGAAAAACAAAATTCCGAAACAATCGAAAGATGTTGCGATAATCGCACGGCTATCGACTTGTAAACAACAAATAACAAAACATTCACCGGATAAATTATTTTGATTTTAAATTTGATGTCATTTTCACACTGATACTGACAGGTACGATAAGGATGATGTCTGACAATTGATAAACTGTTAGGGGATAAGTGAAGTGTGTCGCTTCTTTCTCATAGTCAATTAGAGCATTCTTTCTGTTGCGAACGGGCAATCTATGCGATCAAAATCAGATGACGGTGGCATGTACAACGCGCTTGAAAAGAATTCGCCACGAAGAAGTAGCCATAGTAATTCATTTAAATTCGACTTGTTTACAAATGATGCGTATGATTTTTCGTCATATTCGTCGATTAGATATTGTGTTTCAAGGTAAAGGAGTGGATATTACTAATGTAACTATCAATTTTGTTCTTTACTCAGACAAAGTTTGTTTTGTTTTGTTTTTTTTTTTCATTTTATTAATGGTCTTTGTCATATCTTAAGTTGCCTACCAACACATATTTTTCGAGTCGATATTATCGACTATGTCATTTTGTTACCATCAACGAGAGTCAATATATAAAATTGTATTCAATCACAACATATCAAAATGATCATCGGACGACAAACGGCTTGTTGTGGTGCCTGAAAATCCATTAGGAAGAGGCATCTCATGAGCATAAAAAGTACTTGGCTTGCAGCAAATGGAAAAACTTTCCTATTTTAAGAAAGTTTTCTCAAAGTCCTGCCAGGCATAAGCTTTGCGAAAGTACAACTTTGCCACAACTTCGTTTTCCGCAGTTGAAAAAAGCCTTAGCAAACACACTGAAACCATTCACAATGCAGTTTCAAGGTGAAAATGTTCAACTTTACATTATATATTGCATGCAATCACGTTCTTTAGCCATAATTTCAAGAGAAATAGAAGTAAATGAAATTTGGTTAGTTTCGAAATAAAATCGTTATTCATTTTCGTCTATAGTTTTTTATTTTTTTTCAACTCAATGAATTTGAATTTACGAAAACATCTAATTAGTTCACAATGATGGCGATTTTGCATCAGTCAACCCAAATCATGTCATGCCATCTGGCGGCCATAGATTGAATTCATGCGACGGCATTAATGACATATCAAGCCGACAATATTGTTTATAGATTGTGTTTGAGCGTGTTTTTCATTTCCAATCACTGATTTCAACAGTTTTAAAGCAAATACAATCGGAAAATGACGACAGTTCCAATCTCAGATTTCGGACCCGACTCTGGTGGTCGTGTAAAGGTAAGTTTATGAACGGTTTTTGTTTCTTCTTCAGAAATATTAATGAAAATTGGTTGTATTATTCAACACAGGGAGTAACCATTGTGAAGCCAATTGTTTACGGTAATGTGGCTCGGTCGTTTGGAAAAAAGCGTGAAGAAGATGGTCATACACATCAGTGGACGGTCTATTTGAAACCATACAACAATGAGGATATGTCGACTTGGGTGAAAAAAGTCCATTTCAAATTGCACGAAAGTTATGCGAATGCCAATCGAACGCTGACCAAACCGCCATACGAAGTGACGGAAACCGGTTGGGGTGAATTCGAAGTTGTGATTAAATTACATTTCCATGATCCAAATGAACGTCCCGTCACACTTTATCACATTCTGAAATTGTTTCAATCGCCAATTGTTGAAGGGGAAATTTCGAGCCAAGACACTAAAAAGGGACTCGTTTCCGAATCATATGAAGAAATTGTGTTTCAAGAACCAACGCAGTACATGCAACAATGTCTCAACAACTCGAAACCAATTGCTGACGGTCAATACACACACGATACAGATTGTAAGTTGTTTTTTTCTTACTTTTTCCTTGGTTTGTTTTCAAGAATAATTTTTTTTTAACTTTAAATTTTCATTTCTTCCATTTTTAAAATATTTTTGACTTTTTAAATTGTCTAATTTTCCAAAATTGATATTAATCTGAAATAATTCGATCGTTTTTTCAATTTCCACAGTTGAAGATCTGATCTCACGCACTCTGGAGAATATAATCGATGTCAAAGGAAAGGTGAAACAAGAAATTACCGCACTCAAAGATAAATTGACACTGGCTCGTGAAACAATCGGTCGATTCAAAAGTGAATTGGCCAAAGTTCAAGGAACACCAACTCCCGTAGGCAATACAACACCACAACCAAGTCATTGACCTCATCAGCGCAAATTTTTTTGTATCATCCCAATACCAATTTAAGATTCAGTTTAATTGTTTTTTTTTTCTCCCTCTTCAATGTGAATCCATTTTCTTGGTTTTCCAATTCAAACAGTTTCGTCACATGACTGTCAACGAAATTTATAATTGCAAAATAATAATTTAAAAAAAAACAGACATGTTTTTTGTGAATAATGATTGTTCATTTTACATTTATTCAATTATGGAGTGCATGTCTCTTCCTTCTTTATGTATAATTTAGCTAAATAAGCTCGACCATTGGAAAATGTTTGTACCAACGAAATGATACGAAAATTATTCTCGGTTTTGTATGAAGATTCAGAATTTATGATGCGTTATTATAGCGAAGATTATCAGTTGTGCATTCGCTTTCAATAATTGACGGAATTTCTTTGTATGCTGCTTGATTCGATTTGGTCTGTAAAATGAGTTTTTTCTTGTGTATTTCTGAACAAATGGAACGAAAACAATTTTTTTAAATTTTTTCTTCAATTTTTAGAGCAATGAGAAATATAACATTGAAGGTCAATGTAAAAATTGAACAATGTGCGGGTAGCGCTGTGAACTGGTTATTCATTTTCATTTTTCTTTTAATTTATACACTTCAATGGGTGGTCAATTTTTGAGCGAAATTTCTTCAGATCTGTAACATTCGTAATCATGATAAGCCAAAACTTGATAATTGCATTCATTGTTATCAATATTTCAGTTCATTCGCTATAATCAAGCAAATGAGACAAGTCTCGATAACTTACGTTGAATAAGAAAATCAATCAAATTCATATCAATCAGATAAACGGAATAAGGTACAACGACCTTAGATAGCGTAAATACAACGTTTGGCTTTGGTCTCTTTGACTTTTTTTTTGCAATTGAATTTAATTTAGTGTCGAAAAATTTCTTTATTAGGGTCTATATATTGACATAGCAATATCAAAAACAGCACGAAAAATCGACAACAATAAATCGATAAAATGTGTTAGATCTATTAGATGTTTTGTTCTGAACAAGATTCACATGCAACGAGTATAATAGGAGATTTTCTTTTATCGGGTGGCAAATGAAATTGAATTAGTTCGTGTTATTATATTCAAATGAATCATCGGAGAGATAAACGTTTTCCCATTTTTTAAATAGATCCCAGAATGTGAGCGATAGAATAGTGTGTGGTGCACATCGGCAGTAGTTTGCGATGAATCCCTTATAGAGACCATGAATGCCTTCGATTGAATACGTTTTGACAAAGCAATCGAAAATGTTTCGATACAATACACCTTTGCCATTTTGGTCCACTCCTTCAACGAGATGAAAAGAGAAAAAAAAAAACATCAAATCAAGCGTCGAAAAAAACGTTAGCTTCTGATTCATTAACAGAGGTACAACCCACCTTGATTGAAGAGTCGCGTTGCTACGACATCAAATGGAGTCATTCCGATACTTAAAAATATGCCACTTATCAAGCTCGCTGCCAGTGGTGTTAGAAAAGTTGAATGCTTAAATGTCTGCAGTGAATGAACAAAGAAAAAACCGTTAAGAGGGTGTGTTATCACAGTGTGATCACTTGATAAATTGGTGACTAATGAGATGAGCGTACTTCAATTTTATTTAGGTAATCTTTGGAAATTGTGAATGAAGTCAATTGAATGGCCGAGCCGACGGCAGTCCGTGAGACAATGCCTTCAAAACCACGCCAAAGTCCACGTATCCCTTGATGTCGATATATGTTGGTTAGTGCGTTCAACATCCCAGTGTGGCCATGCTGTGTGCCGACGGCAAATTGACCCTGCGATGACTGTGCTTGCAACTGTGTTTTCACCATGTACAATGGACAACCGATTGCCGAGCCCACAACACCGCATACACCACCCCAAAACACGCACAGCACCGTTGAATGATGTGACGAAGCACTGAAACGTGTCCAATTCAATTTATCGACCGTCTCGTACATACCAAGCCGTGTACTGTTCATCACGAATTGAAACGCAAGCGCCGGTGCTAGGCCTATGAGAAAATCAAAGATCATTTGAAATCGTGATTCAAAACTTAATAAAACTTATCAATAAACGCGATTCAAAAGCTTCGGAAATTCAATCGTTTGAATCGAAATGCATCACTCACCTTTCTGAAGCCCGGTGATTCCTTCGGACTTGATGATTGTCTTGATCGCTGTGAATCCGGATCGGTAGAGTTGATTTTTTGCTTTTACTTCTTTCTGTAGTTCACCTTGCAGCTGTTGTCTCGTTTTTATCACATCGAATGGATTGCTGAAAAAACCAGCACAAGTGGCCGCTGTTCCCGCTATGAAAAAATCCATTTCCTAAAAATATCGTCGAGTTGATTCGTCTAGTGTTATTTAATGCCTTAGTTTTTTGTTTGATTGATTGTCACGTTTTTTGCGGATTATTATCATGAAAATGCCGAAATCATAATTGGAACCGGTCGATAACTTGGCTGACGGCGCTGAAAATGAATAACATTGAATGATAACAGCTTCGATAAGATGAACAACAAAATCTACATCAATTTCCTACAAAGATCATGAACATCGAAAAGGATGCAAACAACAGACAATTGTTAACGTTGCAAACTTTATCTAATGATTTCATTTCGGTTTTGAAATCACTCAATTGAAGTGTGTGCCCTAACAAAAACTAACGACACGGTAACGAATTTTCTATAAGTGGATTTATGCCATTCTGGCAATTCAATTTGGCGCATATTTTGGAAATAATTTCATCGATTTCATTAGTTTTGGCATCGAGCCAAATGCTGACCAAACCAAACTACTGTATATTCAGTGGCAATAAATCGTTGTACTATATGTAATGAATGATTCAGAAAATAAAGCCGTGGAACAAGATATTTTAAGATGATTGATTATGTAAGGTGACGTGAATTCGACGACGTTCTGAGGAGTGTAGTCTAAAGTTCAGTATAGATGTGATGCATAGTAATATTTGGTTCCGTTGTAAACGCGTCAATTGCGTTCAAAATTTCGTTTACAACAGAACCAAATATTAATATGCATCACATCTCTAGTGAACTTTAGACCACAATCCTCAGTCGACGTCATTGAATGTTAAAAATACATCCGAAAAACACACAAATTTGCGTTTACAAGAAAAGACAATACATGTACTTTCAGTTTCACGCTATTTTTTTACGCCTCTCATTAGTGCCGTTATGCTAATGTAACACTGTTATTTCAGAATTTTGATTATAAAATTATCTTTGGGTCGTTCTTTCTCTTTCGCTCTTTTGCCTTCTAATCCCTTTCTTTCTATGTCGCACTCTCTCTCTCTCTTAATCTCTCAAATTTTCTAGGCATACACCGAATTGTCGAGAAACCTACATTCTATCTAAATACAAACCTGAATAATGCAGTTCGGTTTGTATTGAAATGTTTTGAAGAAACGAACGACCGATCGATCGATCGGCTATATTCAAGATCACAGGTATAAGTTTCAAATAATCTGATATCAGCACAATTTATGTGAGAAAAATCCAAGGTGTGTTGCGCGCGCGATTAACCACCGGAAATTTAACGTTGAATTAAATTCTCACCGTTTTATCGCTGCCCGCCGATTGAAGGAAAAAAATCAATTTCTCACGCACCAAGCACACGTTCAATTCGAGAACAAAACGGAATATGCTCATTTCAATCTATAAACACATTCGCGACGGATGAGCACGAATACTGCAATATGAAACAGAAAAACAGCAAACATAAAGTTGGTGTGTTGCAGTTCACGTGCGAGTCAAATTTAAATATGGTACGCAATAACGCTCATCTGCGCAAAATGAGCAAAAAAAAAATAGATGATATTATCTCATGTTTTTGTCTTTCCTTTTCGCCTTTCTTATTTTCCGGGTTGTATTTTCAACCACCAAAAAAATCCAATGTCCATTTCGGTAAATTCTGAACAAATTGTAAAATCAACCGGCCAACGCATGACTCGATTCAAAAATTGGTATTAGATATGAAGTCAAAACTGCAGTGCAATATTTACATTGCACACAGAACCATCATCGTTCTATCACACGTGCAAATTTCTTTGCCGAAGTGTCAATGTGTTTTTTTTTATATGTGAACAACAGAGGAGACTTTGATTCGCAAGCAAATATCGTCATTCATAAAATAAAATGAATAATTCATATGGAAGAATCGGCTCAAAAATAGAAAAAAAATCAAATTTGTCACAAAGTTTCTGTCAATAATTTCTACGAAGCAAAACCAAAAACAAGAGATTGAATATGAAGAACGCAACGTTTGTGTTGGCAAATTTGACGTTTCGAGCTTGGTGTGTTTGACAGTTTTCGGGCAAAGCAGCCGTAGTCATGTGTGTATGGCAGAATGTATTGACACACGTGAGTGAGCTCTCTGCTTATACACATTGTATGCGCGCTCATTGCCTTTCTCTTTCTCCGTCACAAGCATTGACTTTGTACTGTTGCACACGCACACACTGTGTATGCCCGTCTATCACTTTGACATTATTCACATTTGTGTGTTTGTAGCACGAAAAATCCTATTGGCGCTTCTATTTACATCGTATTAAGTAATGTTTAGGCATAGAATTTGTCATCATCGTTTTGAACGAAATCCAAGTACATGCAAATCGAGGCACTTTTTTTTGGTAGGCAATTTGAAATTGAATTTCATGAATCGCAGGAGAAAAACAGCGTATTGTCTAAAGAAAATTCAAGAATAATTGAGTTCGTTGTGCTTGTACTGAAACATCTGTTTGTGTGCGCGCCTATATTGGATGTGTGTTAAATGAATTCTGATTTTTTTCCCTTTGGTTTAATGTGTCGTGTGCATTGATGAAAATGAAAAAAAAAAACATTTCCGAGATTCACTTATTCTACTTGATTTTTGCTTATTGTTTTGATGTCGTAATTGAAACGACCAATTCAGTTCGTTGTAAACGCCATTATTTCGCATTTGTTGCAATTATCCATTTGGAAAGGTGTATTACTGTGTTTCATCATTCAATGACGTCGTAGTGAGTGAGTTTTAAGTGATTGAAATGCAAAAAAAAAAATTACGAATTCCAATGAATTCCCAGAATCTACTTTACGTTCAATTTTTTGCTCTTCTTGCTATTGTATTGTGTATCGACTTGGGACCGTGAGTCTTGGGTGCATGTGTAATTTAGTTCGGTGTGTCAGTCAGTCGACAATTGCTGAACAAAAATTAAAATTTATTTAAAAACTAGAAGTAGAAGCAAAAGTCACATACGCTTCGATCATTTGTCAGTCAACTTGATTGCTTTGAAATACGATCTAGCGCTCATGAGATTCTCGTTTACTTTAATTTACGGCTCATTTTCAAGTGTTTGTACTAAGTTTTTCTCATACATTCATTCTCTATGGTCGAATTGTTTTTGTTTCCGTTCTTGTGAAATTGTGCAAGCATCTGTGACACAAGAAGTCCACGACTCAAAATATATCGTGACATTAATGCTTACTATTTTTCCCACTTAGTGGCTTCAATTTTGTTTCTTTTGTTATTATGGTCGTTGTGCGAAAGTACATTCGTTAGAGTAAAAGTAGGCAAAAAAAACCGACACACGCGTTGGTCAATGAATTTCGAAATTCATGAGAGATTTTTTGTATCGGTGTGTTGTGTTTAGTTTTTGTGATGATCTTTTGTACATGTTTGACAGAAGAGAAAGTGTCCGAATGTGTCGGAATTCGGGTCAAAAGCCATCAGATTTGTGAAAGATAGATACTTGCCAAGTGATGGATTTATTTCAATTGTTTTCATTTTGTTTCTCTTTTCTGCGATTTTCATTCCAGTTCACAAATGCGATAAAGATTGAGTGATGTTTCAATGCGGCAACTATCAAACGTCACATTTTCCGCCGATGCGCTGTCACAAACGGCGTTGCTCGAAATTATATCCCGGTTAATTCATCAGTGAGAATATATTCGTCGAATTGAAAGAAACACAGTATTTATCACAAAGTAATCGCAATAAGAATTGCACAGCGAACAAACTACATGGCTCTCTCTGGTATGCTAGCAATGCATTGTAATGCACTCAATAGCTGAAGTGTTCATTTGAAAGACAATAAATAATTTTAAATAAAAACATTTTTGAAGAATCTATGTAAACAATTTGCAAAGACACAACATTGAACAATTCAAAAATAATAAACATAAATCAATTTTGACTAAGAGAAAAAGATAAAAACCACAACAATAACAATAACAACAACGCAACATCAGCTCGTTGTTAAACGGCAATTAAACAATGTTAAGAGAACTCATCGCCTGGGTATTGAACAATTACTTGGGTAAATATGTGCACAATTTGAATACAGCCCAGTTGTCGGTAGCTCTGTTGTCCGGTGAGTCATGTGTAAACTTTGTCATTTTTCTTATCAACTCCAAAGAAAATGAATCAATTCCAAGATCAAAGGAAATGCATCAATTCCAAGAATTCATTTCAATTCACTAAACGTGAACATTGATCTACATTGGTGTTATCAATCAACTAACCAATCTACGTCATTTAGGTGAGGTTGAATTGGAAAATTTGCCACTGCGTAAAGATGCACTTCGTAATCTGGGCTTGCCGTTGCAAGCGCTCAAAGGAACCGTTGGCCGTATCAAATTACAAATTCCAGTACGACAATTTCGTACAGCGCCCTGGTGTATTATCGTTGAAGATGTCTACGTAGTTATTGGACCAATAAATTTAGATGAGGTGAGTAGAGCAAATCAAATGTCTCGCGTATAAAACGAACTAACCAAACAAACAATTCTCTTTGCAGTGGGATACGGATGTAGAGGAACAAGCCGAATTGAACTATAAACTCAGCCGTTTGGATAATTTGGAGGCAAAATGGCGTGCTCAACGCGAGGCAGCCATCGAAGGTGGCTACTATGCATCATCATATTCCGGCTGGTTGAGCTATGGCACATCGTTGGCAACGAATATCATTGAAAATCTTGAGCTTAAAATTAAAAACGTCCATATTCGATACGAAGATGCGGCCATTACAGTACACGATCAACGGTTTGCATGTGGCATCACCATTGATTCCCTATCGGCACGTAGCTGTGATTCCAATTGGATAGCCGGTTTTTCGTCATCGTGGAACCAAACAAGTGCTTCATTCAAATTGGTTGAACTAACCTCAATGTCCATCTACTGGCAACCGTTGAACAATCAGGAAACATTTGCCGATTCAACGTATGAAGAACTGGGGCAAATCTTTCAAAAATGGAAAACATCATCGAAACATGAGTATATCGTTAGCCCGGTCAGTGCACAGGCACGCTTCAAACGTGATCGCAGCGAAATGCCACTGCGAACGCGTAGCCGACCACGACTCACATGTGATTTAATTCTAAATGAAGTTCAGCTTACGTTGAGCGATGTAAGTGACACATATGTGACATTCAATTAGCACCATTTTTATGATTCTAATTTAAGACTTTAGCGTGATCAATATCGACTAGCTATGAATAGTTAACACTTTCCATTTTTCATGAAAGTGACAATTGATAACATGGAAATATTGAACGATTCTCTTCTTTTCATTTGCAGTGGCAGTATAAGCAAATGGTGGAGTGTGTTCGAGGCCTAGACGATATATCCAAATATCGACGTTTTCGTCTGTTACGACCCGAACAAAGTGTTTATGAGTCGCCAAAGGCATGGTGGATGTATGCAGCTCGATGTCATGGTTGTAAAATCGTATCTCGCCACAATATTCGCAATATTACCAAAGAAAATCTACGTTACATAGACATTTATACCAAATTAATAATTAATCCAAATGAAACGCTTAGCAACGAACAAAAAGAATTTAAGGATAGAATCGAAAAGGACCGTGACTATTATGAATTGAAATTCTTACGAGAGGTAACATTTATTTCCCGAAAAAATTGTTAATTTTTTTTCTCGTTCTTTTTACATTTTGTACAATATTGCACGTTGTCAATTTTGATTATTTAACATCAATTTTTTAAAAATTAAATTTGATTTTTTCCCTTCTTGATTCCCTCTAGATTTGTATGAGTCGAAGTCCGAATAACGATTTGAATGGTGTGGAAACGAATCAAGGACGTGGAATGTTGTTGCAATGGTTTCCACAGTGGTGGGGCTGGTACAAAACACCCCAAACGGATTCCCAGACATCCGATGCGCTACTCATCTCAACCAACTCCTCCGTAGATGTAACGCCAAAAGATCAAAACCAATTAGAAGATGAAATTTTGAATGCACTCTCCAGTGGCACCGTTGATAATTCGCTGCTCAAACGAGACACCGTTTTCGGGAAGTTTAATTTTACATTGAAAAAGGGTGTCTTAGATGTATGCACGTGTCAAAATGGTGTCGATAAAATTATGCTCCAATTACAATTCCAAAATCTTCTACTGGACATAGAAACGCGACCACGATCTGGTTCACATTTTGTTGGTCTGTCGCTTGGATCGGTGTTGCTTAAGGATTTCATCACGGAAAATTCCGAATTTCCCGATTTAATTAAGCCACAAGTCAAAGAGGACGCTTTAGTTGCGCATAATCGTCGCTCACGAGGCAGTAGTTTCTTGATTGGTGGCCTAAACAGCAGCAATAGTAGCAGCAATGCCAGTCTCACGACGTTGATGAACAGTGAACCAATTTTTCAATTAAATTACGAACGCAAACCATTGTCACATAATACCGATTATCGTCTATTAATTAAAACGCAATCGCTGGATGTTGTCTATAACATCGAGCCCATCAAATGGATCGTTGATTTTGTAATGAAACCATATCAAATGATGAACGCCCGCAAGAAAATCGAAGCAATGAAAAATAAAACCAAAATGGAACTGATCAAAAACTGGGAAAACATTCTAGAAGGTGATGTGACCGAACGGCGCACATGGACATTGGAAATTGATATTTCCGCACCGCAAATTATATTTGTGGAAAATTTTGCGCTGAAAAATAGCACGGTAATTGTTATCGATTTTGGTCGTTTGCAGCTCACCAACTATACCGATACGACGAATAGTGCCGTGGTTGGCGGGATCACCGCTCAGGCACCGAATAAAAAAGACGATAGTGATATTGAATCATTGCATCGCGATCAAAGTGAAGATGAAGATGCCTTTATGACACCATGTTCAACACCGCCCGGATCACATGCAAGCAATGATTCGCCCACCTTGTGCTCGGCACTCAGTGATGTGCTGGATTCGAATAATAGCAATGGCAATGAAACGGTCAACGGAGCAATTTATGACTTGGAAGGGAATACGCTGAACGAACGTTCGTTGCATGAAAAACTCTATGATCGTTACAAAATGGATTTGACCGATTTGCAGGTGCTGGTGTGTAAAAGCAATGAACGATGGCTGTTTGCTAGCGCCAAAGGATCGTCAACACTGCATGTGCTCGATCGATTCAGCATTTCATTGCAAGTCGAACGACGTGCCATTCACATGAATGATCCACAATATCCAAGTTTAACCATTGCCGGCACACTACCCAAACTGAATGCCCATGTGAATGAGCAGAAAATTACAGCAATCACAACCATGCTCAACATTATATCATCGTCAAACATTCAATCACCGCATCGGCCACCGAATGATAACATCGAAGACTCATTCTCAACCGAAGCCGATTCTGAAAGTGAAAATGAAATGGACAATGTTGATGGTCAACGAAGCAATAATCGCGGATCGACTCGAACGATTGAAAGCGAAAACGAAGCATCGAAATTATTTATGTTACAATTTGCCATCGATCAAATGTCGCTGGAAGTTCAGTCAAGGGGTCGATGCATTGCTGAGCTGCAAGTGACTGGCGTAAAGGCTGCATTCAGCAAACGGCCAGAAGATATAAATGTCACATTATCCGTACATGGACTGCTGCTGGTCGATGCTATTCAATCGTTTGGACCCGATTTCGAACTACTTATCGCCAGTCATAGGCATGTTGGGTGAGTGAAAAAAATGAACGTTTTGATAAAACCTTTCGACCATTATCCAAATTATGAGGAAAAGACACTAAGTTTTGCTTGTTTTCGCTATTCACAGAATGGACAGCATTTCCGGTAGTTTAAAACAGAGCGAACCATGTTCACCAAATTCACCTGGTTCACCCGATCCCATGCTCGATCGTCGACCAACCAGCCCTAACTCAATATCTCGTGCAATTTCAAACCTACAACGAAGTAAAAAAAAAAAACTCTATTCTCTTCTTTGAATTTTCTTATTATTTCAGAATATTGTGTTTTTTTCCAATTCAAACAAATCTGAATGAATCACAGACAAAAATTCGGACCATTTCATATTCCGTTTTGTTTTGATTTCCATTTTTTGGTTCTACTTTTCTTAATTTATTCATGTTTTATGTTTCGTTACATGTTTAAAACGCTTTGTGCACTCTTGATTTTGCATGGATTTTATTTCCAAAACAAAAATCGAATAAATTCTAAATAAAGCTAATTCCGAATACTGGTCTGCAACTCACGATGTAGATGCGCTGATCACCGTTGAAGTGCTTTTGGTTACGCCCGAAGTGACCGACGGCGAATGCTTGCAAATCGCAAACATTCAATTCAATAATTTGGATATTATTGGTAAGTGTTTGTTTATATGTTTTCTTTTTTTTTCCATAAAGTGTGGATAATTTCCACATTTTGGTGGGTAAATAAATCTTGATTTCAATTTAAATCGAAATTTTATGTTCAATTTCTCATATTTCAATTTATAGCCAATCAAGAAACAATTGTCGAGTTGATGGGATTTGCGAATCGTGTATTTCCACGGTGTGAATCAAAGTCACAGCCATCGTATCATGAAGAGAATGATTTTTCAAAGCGTGAACCTCCTGCAACAATAGAAAGTACACCATCAAACACTGAAGCAAAAACGACCAATTCCGATGCACCGGCCAGTGCAATAACGATACGCACCGAAATCACATTCGATTTTCATCGATTGAATGTGTTGGTATTGCGTGCGGTTATGCGTGATACGTATATGGTGGGGCGTAAGGTCGGTACGTTTACAATGAGTGAAGCGAAAATTCATGCTACACTTGGCAATGATATTCGCGTTGAAGGCTCGCTCGGTGGTTTGCAAGTGATTGATTTAACGCCGGAAGGAGTTTCACATCAGCGTATACTTTCCGTTGGAAAAGATCCTCTAACTGAAGCACCCATCCCACCGCGACCGCACGACTTATTGAGCTCACTAACACAAGAAGTGTACAGTATGTCACACCATCACACCAAAGGTGACTTTACCATGGAAGATCAACAGGCTTTGTCATTCTGTGTGACGCGCAACTTGAGCGCATCGGTTACAATTCGCATTCGAATGGCCTCCGTTTGGTATACGCATTGTGCTCGATTTATGCAAGAGCTTAACTGGTGCGCAACCGAATTCAAACACTATCTGAAGTAAGTGGTTTTTCTTGTGGAAACGTTAAAAAAACGGTGATAAAAGAAGTTTAAATCTAAAACGAGCATTTTCTTTTAATTTCAGGAATTTCGCGCGTTCAATTCGAGACAAAGCCACCGATATGGCATTGGGACTGGTTCAACCGAGTCGTGACATTCCAGCAGCCACACCAAAAGCGCCCGTCGATGTTCATCAAACACCAAAGCATATGCGAAAACAACGAACTATTTCATTTTCCAATTCGGCCGGAACCAAATCTATTGACGTGAGGTAGGTGTTATGCTCATCACTATCTTCCCTTTAATGGTCTTGCTTTAAATCATTTGTTTCTAATTCAAATTAAATGTCTTTTCATTCAGAATGGATATCGTTCTCGATACGCCCGTTCTCGTACTTCCGCGATCGAGTCGTAGTTCACATGTGTTTGTTGTTCATCTCGGTAAAATTTCAATGACAAACAATCAGCCAAGCGATATAACAATTGAACTGGATCGAGAGACACCGCAACGTCATTTTACACGTCGAAAATCCAACGAGTGTGATTTGAAGATATTTACGATCGACGAAGAATTACTCATGGATACGTCACAAACCACATTGATAAACAATTTCAGTGGCCAAAACAATGATTACTTCAGCGAAGAGGATTTGAGGTGTCGATCAAATGACACCGGCATCGATGATTGCGACGGAGATGATCGACAAGTTGAAACGTATATTTTGGATATTCGTAATATCAATGCGTATTCGCTGGACACACGGAATCGAAAAAGTATTCGATTGTCAGCACTTCCGCGGGCCGAAGAGTTTTATTCGTGTCAAGAAGATGCTGTTCCTGTTCTCCACGATACAGCGATCCGAGTAAACATTATTCGATGCTTAGAAACACCGAGCATTGATTTACTTGTCGATTCAGTTGATTCCAAAGAACTGTTGCAGGTTAGTTTTGGGCAAATTTTTTCTTCAGTTCACCAATTTCTCCTAATATTTCGGATTTAAAATCAAAACTTCGTTCTTCACATTTTCATTCGTTTTTCCATTTCCTTTGACATGTCCACCTCAGATTAACGGCAGTGTGATAAAACCATTGAATTTGTCTTTGTCTCGCGTTCAGTACGAGCAACTATTGGAAACGACGGAGAATTTGTTCAAAGTGCCGAGTGATTTGGCACGACCGCCAAATGTTGTACCAACGATAAAAGAGCGTGAAATTGAGCAATCATCGGATTTCGAATTATCAAATGAAACATTCGGAATGGATGCAAAATTCAAGCGTCGTCTATTCCAACCAGCTGTTGCGTATGAGAAGAAAACGATGATTGAACCAAAAGTTGCCTTCGAATTGCCGATTTTCATTATTCAGTTGAAAAATGAACTGAATGATCCGTTGATAGATATTGTTTTTCGTGATTTCAATGTTAACTACGAGACCAATAATACATACGAAACGAATTTGCAAGTATCACTGCGTTCGCTGTTGATGGAGGATTTGTTGCAGCCACCGGATTCAAAGCATCGTGCAATGTTAGTGTCATCATCGCCAGATAGTCAACAGTTACGACCGAATAGTGCATATTCGTCGCGATCATGCCCGAATTTAATCGGTCCACACTTTTTGGATGATGGTTTGACTGGTTCGTTGCCAGAGCAATTGGAACGTGGTGCCGGTTTCAGCAGTTATCTCACTCCCAACAATATAACACAACAGTCATTCAATTGGTTTGCATCATCGCAGCAGCATAAAACGAATTGCCCCGATACACCACCGCCATCACCGCAACGTCGCATGCGACAAGACAATCTCGTGCTATATTCATCGTTGATCATCGATCCAGACTGTCCAAATTTTGCCACACAATACAATTCGATGCGACAAACCAGTTCGATCGATTTCAACAGTTTGGATTTGATCATTTCGGTGAAGAGTTGGTTTGCATTTTTGAACTTTTTCGGTGTTTTATCCGATACAACTGAAGATACAAGCCATTTGGATGACGCCAACGACTACCCGATCGAATCAATTTCAAATGAAGTGAAAAAAGACAATTCGGAATTGGAAGTGTCGGTGCGTTCGTTGACCCTGGTATTCGTACGACCCGACTATGAGCTGGCCAAGGCGAATGTTTCGAATGCATCATTTTTGGTGACGAAAATGGATGGTGCGAAAACGGTGAATGGGAGGCTGGGAAGTGTGTCATTGAACGATTTAACCGTACACGGTGCATTGTATCGTGAACGCTTTCTGACCAGTGGCAATGAAGCTTTGAATTTCACCTATTCACGCGACGAACCGAAACGTACTAACGAGCAAACCACTCTCAATACGGAGGCGCTGTTGAAAATAAAAATGTCATCGGTGCGATATGTGCATACCAAGCGATTTATAGCCGAAATTCAAACGTTTGTCAATGAATTCCAAGGTTTGCAAGCACCAAATCTTATACGAAAAATTAAATCGTCCGAGTCCAGAAGTAATTTACAGCAAAAACCCATGCAGCTGTCACTATCGATTAAGGCTGGTTCGCCGATCATTCTGCTGCCGCTGAGTGCGAAGAGTAACAAAATGATTGTAGCGGATTTGGGTGAATTTTCACTGCGAAATAGTTTTCATTTTGCATCCGATACCAATAATGTGATAAGCGTACGCAAAGACCCCAATGGGCCAGACGAAATTCTCGATGTAATGCTGGTTGATCTGGTGAATACGGATTTATTTGCCGGTGAACGGCATTTGAAAAGCGATGATTTCGCATTGAATGAATCCAGCACAATCAATGACACACTCTGCATGGACATGGGCAGTTATATTGTGTGTAAAAATGGTGCAAATTTATTGAACAGCAAATGCCATTTGAAATTGATTGTTGAACGCAATTTGCAGTCGTGGCGAAGTCATAATGTGCCCGATTTCAGTGTTCAAGGAACACTATCACGTTTGGAAGCCGTTTTGAATCTTCAACAATACCAGCTGGTGCGTGGATTCCTTCAGAATAATCTCGGTGAACCGTTGGACGATTTGGATGTGGAACAACCGCAAAACATTACCGATAGCCGCTTTAGTTTGTCCACTGAAAATTTCTTACGGCCTGACGCCATGCATGAATCATCGTTATGGACGAGTATGTCGATTACATTGGATTTGCAAGATGTATCGGTGTGTTTGCAGGTGCCAAAATCGCGTGGAATCGATTTCACAGCATTGTCACGTGACTCAAGCATCCCATTTATCGATCCAGATGCAGCCGATGCCCCGTTGACTTGCATCAATTTCATCAAATCATCACTGAAAATCGATCAGTTCAGCGATGGATCGCAAGATATTGATTTGGTGTCACAGGAAATTCTCATTACCGACACACGATTCACGGCAAATAAACAGGCCGATATTTTTGGTGAAACGCCAGTGGTGAAGAATGTGTTCACGACCATTTTACAGCCGACTAGCACAAAATCAAATGGTGAAGATTCGGTGCAAGCGGAAATTCATAGTCGCAAACGGCTAGACTATTCGAAATACACCATTCTATTGAATAATATGCGTGTGATGGCCATTTTGGATTGGATGGAAGGTGTTCGAGATTTTTTGTCACAAGATTGTGATGAGAATTTAGACACGTTGCAAATTAGCACCACACCGAAAATCATAAGTGCACCAACATCAATGTCGGCCGCAATTGCAGCATCAACCCAAAATATTTACAATACCAATGAAATGGAGGTGATTTTGAATATTACCAATTCGGAGCTGGTCTTCGTGGAAAAAACCGACCAATGGGATACAAACGCTGTGATTTTGAAAAGTACCACCGTTTTGTCGTATCGTCCGGTCGAAGTGAACAAAGTGATGTCCATCAATTTAAATCATTTGGAAGTGTTTTCGTGCATTTTGGGCTGCGAAGAAGACACTGCACTCTCCATCATCGATCCGATCACCATCAATATGGATGTCAAACAAAACACACTCGATATTCAGCTGCAAAAACGATTGTGCATTCGCCTTTCGTATAATGATGTGAAAATGTTTATCAAAATGTTTGAATCGTTGCCAAACCAAACAGCAAACGCACAATGCCGTGAACAGAAGCAAGTGAACGAGGCGTTGGTTACGAAATTGTCTGCACTTGGATTTTCCGTTGAAGATTGTGTCAAAGCATTGGAATTATGTAACAATGTTCTTGACGAGTCAGCCTTGTGGCTTACCCAGAATGCAGAACCAATCAAAATACAGCCGGCGCAAATGCAAGAAAGCGCATTGAACATAAGAGCGGTTGTGCTTCGAGCGAATTGCATTTCGATTTGTGTGATTGACGATTGTAAGGATGCGGATGTGCCGTTGCTTGAAGTATCATTCTCAGAACTGGAAGGTAGACAAGAGCTCGGTTCGTTGGCCGACTATCAAAATGTGGTAAGCAGCGGCCCTGGTCACAGTCGAACCGGATCGATTGTATCAACGGCAACCGGTGGAAGTGGTTATAAGGCTGGATATTTGAAAGGTGTTTTCGCAAGTGATTATTATAATCGTGTGCTGAGCGGATGGGAACCGTTGATCGAAGCATGGAAATGTGAATCAAATTGGAGCTGCAGCGTTGGAGCCTCATCAATCCAACCGAATCGACTTCATTTGCTGGTCAACAGCGATGATATGCTTAAACTGAACATCACCACCACTATTATTGAACTCTTCAATTTGGTCTATGAAAATTGGATGCAAGATTACTACGGAAATGGCTTGAATACAAACGAAACATCGATCGATGGAAGTCCGTCAACTTCAATGAGTATGATTAACTATCGCAGACGAAATCCATTCGTTCCGTTTGCGCTGAAAAATGAAACCGGATTGAATTTACAGTTTACCACATTTGTTTCGGCACCGGGAACAAGCACCACTAGCGAGAGTACCTCAACGGAGGTGAGTCGCAAATCAAAAGAGCAGCAATGGATTCCAGTGGAACCAGGCGCTGTGATGCCATTCAGCTTTGGTCCAACGCATAAACAACGTCATCACGATTCGCATAAGCTCACTCTGCATCAAATTGGCGTTCGAATCGAGGGTTGGACCGAAGTTGGTCCGGTGTCAATCGACAAAGTTGGCGTGTTTTTCCGCTATTCACGACACGAACTGGCCGAATTCGTATCGTTTCCACGAGCTCGAATCGTATTTTCGGTATCACTCGAAGGTTCGGCCCAGAAATTAGTAACCGTTCGATCGGCATTGCGCGTTATCAATCGATTAGATCGAAATATGCTCATCAAATTAGAACATCTCAAGACAATTAATTACCCTGATGCAATTACAGCCATTTTAAAAGTTGGCGAAATATACAGTGTCCCCTTGAGCCATGTAAATGCACACATGTATGTTGTGCCGATTTCAACGCAAAACATTTCAAATGCTCTACTCATAGCCAATACCAACAACGACACATCATCACGCTCGGACGGTTCATCGAAATACCACACGCCCGAACGGCAAATCAGTTCGAATGTTGATTTATGGTTGAAAAAATCCGATTCCAACGAGTCGCGTCTGTTTTTCTGCGAACGAAGCATTTTTTGGCGTGACATGGATGAAGGTTTGGATGTACAACAGTGGGTTCGCACATGCAAATCGAGCCGAGATAAGCATTTCCGTGTACTCGTTGCCATTCAGCGTGATGGTTATCCAATGAAAGATTTTGGCACGATACCAGGTCATTCGATTGTACTGCTGCCACCATTGCGACTGCACAATCTTTTGCCATGTGATTTACTATTCCGTTTGGCGAATAACACACAAGGACGCATCTCACCATCTGAAACGGCCAATATTTATGAGGTGGATTTGGAGCATCAAATCGAAATAACCATTACATTGGACAGTTATCCAGGAGCTGAAAAAATTGTCATTCCAAGCGGCCCAATTGGTTCGGCCGACTATCGCATTCGACTCACCGACACAAAAGGTCGACCGTTAATTCTGCGGGCCAGCATTCAAATGGTCAAAGGTTCCGGGCTACAAATTACAATCAGCGCATCGTATTGGTTGATCAATCGAACTGGATTGCCGTTGATCTTCCGTCAGGAAGGCGTTTCACAAGAAAGTTCCGGACAATTTGATGAACACGAACAAGCTCGACTCGTTTCACCATTGATGTTCTCATTTACTGATCCAGATGCATCACCTGCACTAACCGTTCGATTGGGGCGAAGATATGGCCATAATCCACCATGGTGTCAACCATTCAATTTACACAAAGACATTTTACATCAACAATTGCGGTCGGGCATCTCAAATGAAACATTCATCATTGGCACGGAAGTTCGTTGTGGTCGAGGTCGCTACGCAAAGACAAGAGTTGTCACATTTTCACCACGATTCCAATTGTACAATCGCAGCTCGTACAAACTTCAATTTGCACAGAAATGCTTTGCTACATCATCGGTAAGCATGAGTTTTTTTTTGTCGAAAAATCAGATTTTTTCAATCAAATTTTGAATCGATTGAAAAAACTGAACTTTAAATGAAAAATATATTTGCCTTGAATAACAGAAGGCGTCCTCTAATGATTGATTCGATTGACTCCATGAATTTGAATTTAAAAAATTCCAGATGGATTTATCAGCACCGAACACATTCATCGAAGCAGTGCCTGGATGTCATTTGCCATTCCATTGGCCGCGATTGGATAAAGAACAAGAGCTTTGCGTACGATTGCCCGACATTGATGGCTGCATGTGGTCAGGAGCGGTTCCAATTCATGAAACACAGAGTCTCTACATAAATATCAGGTAAAATCTTATTCGATATTTTTTTTACTCGATCAAGCAGCCATTTTTTAACGAATTTTCAAACTTTCGACATTTTCTCCCATTTCAAATTCCAGAAATATGAATGGTGATATGCATTTCCTCCGTTTGGAAATTGTTCTGCAGGGTGCAACGTATTTCCTTCTGTTCGGCGATGCTCAAGCATTACCACCGCCAATTCGTTTTGACAATTATTCCGATGTTGCGATCAAATTCTACCAACCGGGTGGTCGAAACCAGTGGCGAACAATAATTCGACCACATTCATCGATGGCTTATGCTTTGGATGAACCGATGGGCGTGCAATCACTCGTAGTCGAAGCACCTGGTGGCGTTTCCCACAACTATTCATTGAGTGAATTGGGAACATCGTTGAATCTAACCTACGAAAACTACATTTACATTGCATTCAGTGGAACTTTCCGCAGTACCGACGCAATATCGGACAAAGATTGGTCGGACTACGATATCGAATGCCAGGAATTGGTGCTAACCGTTGTCGATGGCCGTGTGTATTTGGCTAAAAAGCAACAAGGGAATCGATCCCAATTGTGGCGCATGAATCAAGATCGACAACTGGAGCACGAAGGATCATCACCGCCAATTGAACCAGGTCGAAAATCCAATACCGCCTATCGATTGGTGTTGGATTTGGAAAAGGCACCGCAACCAAGAAATTATGTGCCGCTCGTTGTACGACCGGCAAACAAACAGCGAAGATCAACGCAAACTTGGAATTTCACTGAAGAAGGTCGATTGATGTGTGAACACTCGAATATGTGTGTGCAAGTGCGTGGTGGCATATTCGGTTTGCGGCCCGGAAGCGAAGCGGTACTTGGAATGATTGTCAGCGATACGCATGTGATTCGCGATGGTTTGGTTCCAATCGAACAGTCAATACGACGTGAAAAATTGCGAGCCGGCTCGGGATTTTTGTCGGTTTCAATCAAAATGGATGGACCAATTAAGAATATTTGCATCAGAGATGTTAAATCAACGGAACCGATTTCATTGGCTCTGGATCCAGCGTGGAAGCATGTTTCGAATATTTTGTCATCGGGAAATCGGATGACACAATCGCATGCAACATCGGCTGTCGTTAATAGTAACAATCTCGCCGAGCTGTATGTAAATGTGAAATTAACTAAAGGCATCGGTATTTCGATCGTGTCAAAGCTACCGTGCGAAGAATTGGCGTTTGTTTTGCTGGAAAATATTTTGACCGAAGCAATTTCAACGCCAAATATTCGATCGCTTGATTTTAGCGTGGGCGATATTCAGATTGATAATAACCTATTTGAAACGCAATGTCCCGTGATGCTGTTTACAACGAGAAACGCTGAAATACAAAATCATCCGCTGCCATCGATGCATTTGAATGTAAAGCTATTGCCCAGCCCAAATGCCAATGCCATCATTTTCGAACATCTAACGCTCAGTTTGCGACCACTCACCATTTACTTGGAAGAGCGTCTGATGCTGCGCATGGCAATGTTCTTGGGATTGGGAAAATCACAGAACGATACCTTACCCGATGAGTCGGACTATGAGGCGCATCGTGTGGCCACAAAAATTCTTGCGGCAAATGCAAAACGCTACTATTTTGGTGATTTGCAAATTGTTCCAAGTCAAATACGATTGTCTGTGATCACGGCATCGAAATTGATGCCACAGCTGCTGGAAATAAAGAAAAGCCTCGGTTTGACATTAATCAAATTCGAAGATGCTGTGATTGATTTCGAGAAATTCAGCGATCGACACCATTTCGAAACGCAAGAAGTGTATTTGCGAGCCATTAAAGCACATTACAAGCAGCAATTGAAATGGCAAGCCGCGTTCATTCTTGGCAGTGTCGATTTCTTGGGAAATCCACTTGGGTTCGCCAGTGATTTATCCGAAGGTGTGTCTGGATTGATTTTCGAAGGCTCTGTAAAATCACTGGTGAAAAACGTTACACATGGAATATCAAATTCAACGGCCAAATTGACCGAAACTATTTCCGATGGATTGGGCCGCGTTGTGCTTGATGAACAAGACACTGAAACGCGTCAACGTATCCTTGAGATGCCAAGCGGTTCAAATTCAACCGGTGACCATTTGGTGGCTGGTTTCAAAGGTCTTAGTTTCGGTTTGCTGGGTGGCGTTACCAGCATTGTCAAACACACATACATCGGTGCACAGAATGATGGTTTCCAAGGTTTCATTTCTGGGCTGGGCAAAGGCATCGTTGGAACGGTAACAAAACCAGTGATTGGTGTACTTGATTTGGCATCTGAAACAGCGAATGCTGTACGAGAAACCAGCAAAAGTTCAAATCGTGCATTACCCGAACGAAAACGACTACCGAGATGCGTGACTGGAGCACCGGGTGGATTGCTACCACCGTATTCGTCGTTGCAAAGCCGTGGCCAACAGTATCTCTTTGTGATAAACAAGCGCAACTTTAACGAACAATTCATGGCCTATGAACCATGCCTTTATGATGGCCGAGATTCAAAACTACGGCTACTCGTATCATCCGAGAATATTTGGGTATTTTCAAGCGACGATGAATCGACAACGATCATTTTGTCATACCATTTGAGGTTGGTACTTACTTTGGATCTTACATTTTTATTTGGACTTTTATTCATGGGTTTTAAGTTTGTAACTCCATTTAATAATAACAAAATATCCATTTCATTTGCAGTGAACTGATGTCATGTCATCCAACATTGAAAAATAACAATCAATCCGATAGTCACAAATCGAAACGTGCTCAGCATTACATTGAATTATGCTTGAATTTGCAAGATGCTGTAAAACGGCCGTTGGTCGCATGCAGCAATGAAGAAATGGCACAAAGGGCATCACGTCATGTAAGGCAGCCGAAATTCAAAATTTGACATTTCTAATGGGCAATAATTAAATTTTTTCATTCTTTCCACCTTTCTCTTTAGATCAATTACGCGAAGAGTGTTTATGATGAACGAGAACTGACCTTGAACTACGAGACTGTGATCGATATTTAAATAAACAAATTATTTGAATACTTCGAGTCGATATGAAGAGATGTAGTCTGTAGGTTTCCAAACAATTGAAAAGCTTTCCGAACAATTCATCGTCCCCAACAAAATGAAAACATTTTTAATTTCATTAATTTAATCTATTCAATTTGTTGATTTGAACCTGAAAACATTTCCTCCCATTTATTTTAAAACAAAAGAAAAACCAATGAAATGTGATTCATTACCACCTCTGAACTACGAATAAAATACACCGAACTCAAGCGAGATCACTTGAAAACATTAACTTATGGATTGAACAAATAAAATTCCTCAAACACGTGTAGACGTAATATTTTGAAGAAATTGTAGTCGCTAGAAAACCTTCACCAAGTAGAAGTTTCATCAAAAAAAAAAAAAATTTAATGAAACCACGTGTTCCAAATAGAACTACAACAAACCGAATGTGTGTAAGAGAGTAAAATGCAAAGCAGCTGATTTTTAAACAAATTTCACATGATAAAAAGACAACACGAGCCCAACTATTCGACACATGTCACCAATTTATCTATTTTTTGTAAATATGACGTCAAATTAACATGATGTACATTGGAGCAAAGATCATTGTACATTGTTAAATATATTGTTATACAAGTGCTCTAAAATATTAACCGATTTTAATAAATTCAATTTTTTTAATAACAAAACTTTTTTCGCTTGTTTTTCTATTCATTCATTGATTGCTTCGAACTGAATCGATGGAATGGTCGTTGTTTATTCCTGGGACGAACATCTAAGGGAGACTCAACCATTCGATTTTCTGTTTCACGTTCAAAATGTTTTTATTAGATTTCCAATGATTTGCTGTTTGTTTATCAAGTAGATTTTGTGATCGCAAAGAAACACAAAGTGAAGCCGCATATCTGTGCCTATCAAGCTTTCGTTTTTGGATGAAATGTATCAAACTGATACTATCAATCAATAATCTGTCCAATACAATGCTGTCAGCTTCTAAATAGTCCTGAAAAAGTTCAACATCGAAAGATGAAAATTCCAAAATGAAGAAAAAAATGGAAAAAATGAATGCGTTTCATAAAATTCATTTAATATTTTACTATATTTAGATAAAATAAAAATTACACAAATTGAAATTTACGTTTTAATCATTTTTATATATATATTCCACTTAATAGTAATGAATCGTAAGATTTGTCGCTATTTAGCATTTGTCCCTCATATTAAACCACTGAATTTTGAATGAAAACTTAATGCTAAATTCATGCATAGAATACATATTAATCTTAGGTATCAAACTAACATACATATGAAACGATAGGATTAGTTTTCACATTTGAATTGAAATAAAATTAGTTATTTTTGTAATCAACTGCATAGCTTTCGATACGGAATAGCCAATGTGTTCAAAATATTTGTATAAATTCCCAATTGACTTTCCACATCAGCAGTAAAACAAGAATAATTCATTAACACAACAAAAGAAAGGAGAAAAAAAAAATGCAAAGAAAAAGTGTTTAAATGGTTTGGTTTTTCTTCTTTGTAGAAATAGTGGTAACTTCCCGTGCTGCACTTACTGGCTAGAGATTTGTCAATGTGTTTTGTTGCTGTTAGCTTAGTTACATGCTATACTTGGAATTTAAAGATGAAATATTGGGTAATATTACACTAGGCTAAGGTTCAGTATGAATTACACAAAAATCAACTCAATCCATGAATAGCGCGTATTCATTATTTACACAAAATGGATCTAAAGTCTAGACGAGGAAAGAAAAAAAGTGTTTTTGATTCGTTGGGCTGTTGCCCAAAGCCGAATGTGTACATTTGTTTTGTTATCGATACATCAAAAAATTCTTACGTAATTAATTGTCTTGAATGTATGTCCTCCTCAATTTTCAGTATTATACTCCTGCGAAGAGCTACTAAATCGAATATAAAACTACCTAACTGCTGCTTTAGACTTGTTCATCTTTCAAGTGACGACATTTATCACTTGTGGTTTCATTTAAATTTTTTTTTCCTCTTTTTTAAAATAATCGAAATAAACGTGTCAATGCTCTTACTTTCTAACGCTAAAACTCAAGCTTCAAGCGAAGAAATTTAGAGAACCAACCAAATGCCATATGCATTTAGCCATTTACGAAATTTGTAATTGAAACGTTTGTTATTGTATATTGACGTTGATTTGTATCATGGCTTGACATTGGCACAGAAAAGCACTAGCGTTCAAAAATGAATGGTGTACACATTTTCGTTTCTAAAAACAAACTGTAATTTAATTTTTATACATATCACACAGCACCTTTTCCATGGGCGTATTGCCAATGGTTCTTTGGAAATAGATCGATTCGATACGATGTGAATTGACGATACGAAGCAGCGGCAACATCAACAGTAGACGACCGAATCGTGCATTCGGTGTTGGGAATTGACGGCGACAATGTTCCGATAGCATGACCTGATGATTTATAATGGCAAAAAGGGGAGAATTTTTTTTTAAGTAAAAATAGAAAAAGATGTGAAAAAAGCGAAGTCAAAGCGTGCAGTTTCAAAATCGATATATTGATTCTAGAAAAATGGTCACAAAATAAACGGAAATGAACTAGATAAACTCACTCGATGTGAAAAGGAAAAAAAAAGGTTGAGTTCAAACCAAAAACACTTGATGATTGTTATGGTGATTAATTCTCAATTACCTGTGCTTGATCTTGCAAATTTTCAATTGGTGCCGGGTCTTTCAAGCCACGTGTCTCCGATCGAAACAGAACGATTGCCTTCAAGCATGCAAATTCGGCTGGATCAACGAGAATCGATTTGAAACGGCACAGTGTGTCGTGCAGTACACGAATGTCAAGGGCCAACTCTTGTTTGCTCATATTGTTCGTGTTGCCATTTATATTGTTGCAATGCTCGGCAACGGAAAACAGTGGACAATTCGATGGATCTAATGGCATACACCATTGGATCGCATTGAGCAGAAACAATTCAGCCCATGATTCTTCCAATAAAATGACCTGCAATAAATTCCAAATTGGTACAGTATTACAAACGGGCTCATCGGGCTATCACCATCAGGCGATATGATTGAATGTAATAAATATTGATTCTGTTTTTTTGTCTTTTCGGAGGAGGGGAAAAACATTGTTAAATTGGCTCACCTGATCACGAAAGGCGAGCTCAGCAAAGCTCGGCAAATTCTTAGCCCATTTAACAGCCATGAATAGAAGACGTGCACTGGTCTCGTACACCGTTTCTTGTGTGTGATTATACAATGATGTGGGAGGCATGAAATTCGGCATCGGCAATATTGGTGTGGTTTGATGATCTGTTTCTGGTTCCTGTTCAGGCTCTTCATCATTTGTGACATCGATGGAATCGTCTATTGCATAAGCGATAAGATGAAAATAGAAGAAAACACATACAGAATAAATCAGAATGGATTCACACGAAAATGGTTCAATTGAATTGGTTTTCTGTGTTTTTGCCGATGATTTTATGGCGAATTTATTCAAGAAATTATTTTTGTCTTTGTCTTTCTCTCGCTCTCATTGTCATTGTTTTTGTTTCGCTTTTTTTTCGCGCCCGAAGATGATGGCATAGGCCATACCCAACTACATAATCAAAACTAATCTGAATAAATTGAATAACATTTCGATTTGTCATATTTTATTGCATAATCAATATGGTTATATAATAATTTTCCGAACGAGTATTTTATATCGTTGCCTCATCTTAAATGTGCGCGCTTATTTTTTCTTTCATACTTTCTATTTTTGTTATGAGCACACCGCATATGACTCAGTCGGAGGGTGATTTTTTTTTTATCTTTTTTGTCATCGTAACTCCGGCGAGACTGATTAAATCAATAGCTAAATTTGGTGTCGCGATGCAGACAAAAAAAAAACGGAATATCCTTTCACCACTTTGCCGTCTTACATCATACGTAACCGCATGTCATTGTGTTTGCATTATGTAAATTTAAAATTGAAAAAAAAGCAGCCACACAACCACCAACCGAATTCAAATGACACAAATAGAAAGAAATTGCCATGAATAAAATGATACATGTTTGACTTAAAATCCTATTTAATGCTTTTTCTTTGATTGCATTTTCTTTTCTGTATTTCTTCATTTCTGCTTCTTTTTTTTCCCAACAATTTGTGCGGATTTTTTTTCACTTTTTTTTCTTCACCAAGACTCATTGCCTTAAAATCTCATGATCCAGAGGGAAGAAAAAATTGTGTCACCCAGGAAAAAAAAACGAAATGTTGAGCTCAAAAACGCGCAAAGCAAAAAAGAATTTGCATTTAAAGTAGTTTGTCTTTTCAGCTTTCATTTGTTTGACAGGCCAAAAAAAGCGTTTTTTCTTCTTCGGCAGTGAAATAAATTGGGAAAAAAGTCGGTGTCAGAAAAAAGACGGAAATTTTAATAAATGCGCATCGTTTCAATAGAAATTGAAATCATGATTTGACTTTTTTTTTCGTTGGGACAAACACATAAACCGAACTGAAATAACGCGAGCGGGAGAGAGAAAGGGCATATATAAGGTAGAAAGAGAAAATACTCACCATCGTTATCATTACACGGATTTGGGCTATCAGAACCAACTGAGGACAAACTCCCTCTAGCATTTCCCGAATTCTCATGACTCGTCACTAATATTATACAACAGAGAAAAAAAATGACATCAAATGAGTATTGAAACATTTCGAATGAAAATTAAATTAAAATTTGTAACTAAAACGAATGTTGATGAATAAAAAACATGGAAAAAGAATCCTTTGACATCAATATTGCTTATATTTGGTTCGATGCAAATGACTGAATGAAACTTGATGAAATTCCTGCCATTGAAAAACTGATTTCTATAACAAATTTTGAACAAAACATAAAAAGCAAAACAGAAACAATGCCAACGAATTTAAATCATCTCCAGTTGAAAAAAGTCTTTGAATGTACATGCGAATGCAATTTTATTTATTTTCAACTTCGATGAATATGTGTCACACATAATGTGTGCAAAAACACGACGTCTCTGGAAACAAAATTGAATAATACCTGGTGTAACTGGTCGACTTGATAAATGATTTGGCGAATTGCTCGATGAGTTATTGGATGAGAGCAGACCCGTTTTGTTTTCAGTACGATGACGGTGATGTTCAGTGTCATTGCTATTGCCGTTATTGTTATTATTTTTGGTTGAGTTAGTCGATTGATGGTTGTTGGTTAGTTTGTTAGTGATATTGTTGTTATTTGTTTGAATGGAATTGTTGTTTAGATTCGACGACATGACCAAACCGTTTGGGATCAATGCACTGTGATGATGATGATGATGCATCGCCAAGTGGCTGTGATGCAAACTTGGTGGTAGCGAAGCAATTGCTGCTCAACAAAAAAAAATGAAAAACATGAAGAAAAAAAACGATTGGTCAGTGACAACATTGAAAAACATTGATTCTAAAAATAGAAAAAAAAAAGTTTTTTTGGACAATTTTTTAGCTTTGAAACAAAACAGATGGGAATTACGTCATTATTATTATTACGTTTGCAAAAGTGCGAATCAAAATAGTGGAACTAATCAATTCATTCAAAAGAATTCGGTTCGAATGATATCAACTAAAATAAAGCAAACAAAAGACATATGGAGAAAAAAATGATGAATTTTGCCCCTTAATTGACATACGATCAAATCGTGATCAATTGTGTCAATATTCGATTAGTATAATGTCACGGTATAAGGAAAATGTAGCGAAACAAGAACCAAATTTGAAAAATTTCCAGAATTTCACAAACATCTGCGATACATGTGCCACAAGCCAAAGAATACAGGAACAGTCATTAATTTATTCATGTTGGTGGAAACACTTACTTTGCTGTGTTAAGAGTCCGGGTCCATATCGTGATGGTGATAACAGCATCGGCGGTCTAATTTAATGGAAAAATGCCATTTTTAGAAACGGAAAATCGAACATTTTAAATTAGAAAAAGAAATCCAAACAGTGAACTCAGCAAATTCGACCAACGAAACAGAAAAAAATAAATCCATAAGCAGGCGAACAATTGTTCCGCTGCATTACCACCGCACATATCGAATGCAATAATTGACACTTACGCAAAAACACCAACGGCAACAGCTGCCTCACGCAAAGCTCGACTTTGTTCCATATCGCGAAATGCTTCCGGTCGAATGGTTGCTGGAAACGAAATTAAAGCATTAATTTTTTATGCTCTCGTTTTTTTCTGCACAAAAGCTGATACAATAGGAAAAAAGGGGCGAGTGTATATTGAAAATAGAAAGAAGACCATATCAACTCACCGGTATTTCTTGGTTGGCGTTCGTTTTGGACAGCTAAAAGATCAAAGCAGAAAAAAATTAGCATAAATAAATGAAGAGTACACAGCACAAAAAAAATCGAACTAGTTTTGTTTTTCTCTGTTTCAATTCTATTCACTGGTTTTGTATGATGGTTGAAACGGTGGTGAATCATCCACCGTACTCATTATATCGTTACTAAATTGCCCATATTTTAAAATCAATCATAAAATATAAACACAATGGCTAAACAGTATTGTGTGCGTATGCGTGTATTGATCGATGAATGGACCGATGCGCGCTTATTCCATTGGCAATTCACACCTCTTTATCCTCTTGGACAAATTTTTCTGTGTCCAGCTTGGCCGGTTGAATTGTCGCCGAGCAGAGCATCGTGTACAAAACAATTAGCTATAGCGAATAGAGACACAACCGAATTATCAGTGGACATTGGTGATTATGCATAAATAAGCACATCGATTTCATAATTTATGCATGTGAAAATTATTGTTGTTATTCAAATGTGAATTGCATTTTTTTTTCTCGTTGTTATTGCTATTGTATATTGTTATTAGTTGTCGCATCATTTAGACTTAAATCGTTCGGCTTATGAGTGAGTGTGCCAGCGATTTCGTGTCATATATTAGTATCGTAATCATTACAAACGCATACATTCCGCTTAATTAAGTGCACATATTCTTTTGGTTCGTGGACGCGCGCGTATTACGTGTGCCTTTGTATTGTGTACGGGCATGGTGTAGTCAATCAACATATATGTATATATTTTTGGGTTGATTTGCATTTTTTTCTTGTTAGCGCGCGCTGCTGAACTGATAAGTGAGAAACACAACCTTTATGTGATGAATTTATTTATTATAAACGGTGTTCGAGTGCGTGGTCTGTGGTTGTAAGGAAAGAGAGAGGGAGAGAGAGAGAGAGCGAGCCAAAGATGCAAGAGGAACGAAAAAATGACACACATGAACACGTGACAGCTAACTCTTAAGGGTTATCCGCATATTTAACTTTTTCGCAGCATGTCAAAGCACGGGGGCGAGAGTGTACACGCGCGAGCACTGTTGCCCAAACCAAAAAGGATCCGCAAACAAACAAAATAGGGTTTATATACACAGCCAACCGTTGGTGAATTTGAACCAGCTGAAGAAACTCTTTACCGAAAAAAAAAACCGGTTAATTTCAGTCTAATATGCATACACACACTCGTTTGTGTCGAATTTTTTAAAAACCATACCCAAATTGCAGCAATTAACAAAAAAATCTTCCTGTGTTTTTCTCTTGTTGTTCTCTGATTTCGTTGATTTTGACTGTTTTTTTACGTATTTCCCACGCAAGTGTGTGTTTTGGTTGCCATTTATGCCTAGTTCTATTTAAAATTTCATTCAATTTCTGTTCTTTTTGGTCTCTTGTGCGAACATTTTGATGGCATGACTGTCAAGCTTGAATTTTATTGACATTTCACATTTTTTGTCGCAAATTGTTTTTATTCTAGGAATTCACCGTTTTTTCTCCAATTTTTGGATGGTTTGTTTCTGGAGGGGAGAAGAAAACAGTCACAGCACGTGTATAAGATACACGCGCGAGTGAGCGCGACTTTGTGTGCCTGGGCGTTCAAAGTCAAATTTGTCAAATGGATCGAGAAATGAGCAGACCGTGGCAGAAAAAGAGACACACATCGAATGAGACAAAATTAAAAGAAAAAAAGTGAAAGAAATGCTGTGATGCAAACACTCTATCTCTCAATCACATGCTAAGTACGTCATGGTATGGTGTTTGCCGAGAATGAGTGTGAAAATCATCGGCACACGCCACACACCGCAATTTAATACGCTAAACGCTATTGCCTGGCGTTTTGAACCCAAATGGGCTGAAATGACAAAAGAAAGGCGCGAACACGGCAAAGGGACATTTCGCCACACACACACACACACACACACACACATAGCCCAGCGCGCACTTACACAGTGTCACTCACTAATGATTTGACGATTTTATGCAAATTCACACAATTTAACAATTGTATTTCGAGTGCGTACGCTCGAACTGCCTCTCTCTCTCTCTCACACACACACATCGAAAATTGATCATTTAAATAATTCCGTTTTCGGTGCAATGTCTCCAGCTCAAAACTATGCTGTGTACTTTATTTCTGTTCGGTTAATGATCACTTCGTATTTTTCTAACGAAAGGATTTACTCGAACGGTGAACATGAGCACACACATGATAAATAAATGTATGCATCGATGCATTCATTCACTCGTTAACGGATTATTATATTCGTGTGTACTAGTTCAAAGCCATTCGAATCAGTTTAAGTCATTCGGCTGTGCAATATTACAACAATGTTTTATGGCTGCGGCCAATCGTGATTTTCCTTGCAAATTTCTATTTATGCAAATGTCGATCGGCGGCAATCCGATTTAATTCTGCAAAAAAAAGTCATTTTATTGCTTGAAATGCTGCAGATGCATTTATTGGGCAAAACACAGACCATTTGGGAATTTGGCACTGATTTTGCAACTCCCTTCGATAAGATACCGTTTCGCTTTCATTGAGACTGCACCAAAAGGACGTGTGCCGCCCCCTTTTTTCTCCATCGGTAAATGGGCGATTGGTCAATTGTGTATCGATTTCAAAGTGATTGCAAACATTTCAATTATTTTGATTGAAATCCCAATGTGCCATTTAAAGCGAGCCGTGCCATTTTGCAAAGCAAATCATTTGCATCAATCAATTGGTTTGCAAAAGCCCAGAGGAAAACCCCAAACAGTGGAAATAATTAACTTGTTCGGTTTAAGCCAGTCAATGACTTAAATCAATATTTCCGGAGATAGTGGAAAATGTCTTGCTTGTTCCTTCGTATCACTTATTTAAATTGTTTCCGATCTGTTTTTTTCTTATTCGGTGGTGTGCGTTCATGGTTGCTTTAAAATGACTCTACCTTGTGAATGAAATCCGTTTAATATTCATGGTTTTATGGCAACAACATAAGTTGTTACAAAAAGATTACGTAATTAACATTACAAAGACACGTGCCACATTACTTTGGCTATTGTTGATCATATTTGCGCTTTGAGCCGTTTTCTCTCTCTCTTTCTCTCTCTCTCTCTCGCTCACTCTCGTTGTTCTACATGTTGCCGTTGTCTTGATTGTGTCTCATTTCGTTCGTTTTACATCAATTATGGATTCGAACCGAAAAGAAAAAAAAGAGAATACGCTTTGACACTTTGAACAATGTCGAGTGTGTGTATGTGTCTCTGTTTATAACAAATCTTCACATTAAAAATAGCATTAGATCAAATGAAACCCTTTTTTCCACAATTGTATCGTATGCTCGTTCACAGCGCGCGTGAGAGACTGCACACACTGAAAAGCCTCGTCACACTGTGGAGGATGAGGTGTTTGTTAGTCTATCAAATTCGGTTTCGACTGATGAAACATGGGAGATGAACAACATGAACCGTATGCAGAAGAACGCCCGTTGTTTTTCGATTTCAGCCATTCGCACGTCTCTCTCTCTTTCAATCGCTTTCTCGCACACTATGTATCTACTTTGCCGCAGTGAAGCACACCGCTGCACTCCTTTTTCGACGGCAAACTATCGAGGCAAATCTCTTTCTCCAGTTGAAACAAAGCATTGTTACATTTCCCAAAACAAACCGTAATATTCAGTCAACACTATGATTGTTCCTTAGTTATAAATTCATATCGAACAACACGATGATTAAGACGTGTGTTCGATTTTAACAATCACTCATTTCACACACTCTCACACCAAATTAACAATATTCACGGGGAAAAAAACGAAATATAATCACAAAACCGCATAACGAGCATCAGCATTGCCACCCACCGGTTGTCGCTTTTTGTTTCGCCGTAATTGATTGAGAAAAATGACAAACCAACATTGCGTGTGAAAAGTTGGTTTTGCAGCTAACATTATCCCGACGGTATTTTCGGTCGTGATACGGCGGCGGTGTCGATGGTTTATTTTTTGAAGCTGATTCCTTGTGAATTCTCAATTTCACAATTTAATATTCGATTTGCAACCAAAAGCTATTATCTCATCATTAAAATGACGTGAAAGAGCAAAATTGCGTCGTTTTTTTTTCTGTACTGTGGCTGCTGCCGTCGCCATGACGTGAATGTTTGTTTTCCCTAAATTCTGATGCAATTTTTCGCGTTCTGCCTATTGTTGTTCCAATCAATATTGACTTTCTTTTCGACTTTCAGCAGGCTCCCGATACCACCACGGCTGCCATCGACGCAATACAAATGATGCTTTTGTGTTTACACAATTTTTTGCTCCACTCTATTTTCGGATGTGAAAAATGCTCATTCAATTCAACGGAAATAAATGAACCAACGTCAACTTGACTTTATTATGCGCGAATTACGCTTTGTATATTCGTGTAATACACACGCGCACACGCGCGTACAAAGAATGTTACGGTAAAATGTATGCCAATCGATTGAAAGTTGTGGAACATTTCAAGATGAAATCGAAGACGGGAGAATGTCGCTCATTTCGGGCTTGTAATCACAGTCGAATATAAATTTTGAGTAAAAATCATTGAAGCATGCAACTTTTTCTAGCGTAAACCGCTAAACCTTTCATATTTGAACCAACCATTCCACGGTTGGCCGTTTTGTTTTACTTTCTGCTTGTGCTCTTTCAAGCTTCATTGCCAACATTCTTCTCTATGTGTCATTGACTATGACGAATAACCGAAAATGCTTTTCAATTTCGCGCTTGTTATCCGACGGGATGTGTTCGTTTAAATTTGTTCTCGATTTGCCATCATCAAAATTGTCTCGCTCCAATTCAACAAAAGGAAAAAATTTACTCGACTTTGGAACATCATTAAACTAAATAACTTTGCGTTGTGCTACGCATTTCATGATGGAATTTAACCATTTCGAGATCGGCATCGACAGAGTTAAAAATTGGGATTGCGTAAATAATTCGTAAATAATTAATTAGATTATTATTTTCAAAGCCATGTGTCGATATGTCATCACATTAAAATATTTTACGATCATATTTGATGAGTATGCCTCGCTTGCGTGCAGCAAGTGAGATGGAATGAGTGAAAAAGAGTGCGTCAGAAAAAAGAGAGAAGATATTTGTTTTGAAAAAATGGCGCCCGAAAACCATCAAAATTATTTCAAGTGTTTTCGTTTTTCAAATGACGGCGACAACTTAATTTCAAGCCAATTAATTAATCAAGTGGCTTGGCACGATCTTGCTCGTTCACTTCTTAACTACACAACTACTAACACTTCGATTTGTATTTATTCGACGCAATTCTTTCTTATTTGCTAATCGAATTGCTCACATTTTGTGGCGGCTTGTGAAGCAGCACCCGCATCGAACTCACATCGAAATACGTTGTTTTTTCGAGTCAAGCTCATTGAAATTAATATGTTATTTTGTTTGCAACACTATTTGCATGGCATCATTTCTGTTTGACGACCCTCATTCCTTGATTTTTTTCGGATTCTCAATTATTTGAATTGACTGTGATGCCGTTTTCACATGGGATATTTGGTTGGCAGAACGTTTTCACATGAGTTTTGTTTTACATGCTCATCGAAAAGTGTAATTTTTGCTTTTTTTTCAATTCATTTGAATATAAGCTCACCATTTTCCTACTTGTCTTTTCTTTTTAAGTTTTTCATTTTCATTTTCATTTCAACCAATGGGGAGTGATCGGCACATGAACACCATATTTGTTTCATTCCCTTTCTTCATGTTTGAGCACATTTTTCTTACAAAGCATTTTGAAAAATCAAGAAAAACAAAATTGTACCACTTACCATCTTTGTTCATGCCCATTTGTAGACATTTTTTGAGTCGACAGGCTTGGCATTGGTTTCGATGTGCTTTGTCCACTATACATCGGCCAGTTCCAGCTTGACACCTGTTTTTTTCGTCCGCCGCACGAAAATTGAAAGAAGAAGAAAAAAAAAACAAATCAAAACTTGGGATTGATGACAAAATAAAGCTGAAAGCAATAAAAACAGCAAAGAAAAAAAACAAGTCAGAGATGTGTACAAGTAATTCGAGTAGGTCTTCAATCAAATCTGAAAAGCGCCAGCATCAAATTTGCATTTTGATTGGAAAAACTGAGTGAAAACTTTGGCTTTTTGCACGGCAAAAATGCACACCATTTGCGAAAATCCACGGCTCGTGTGTTTTTATTCTCGTCTTAGGTATGGCTACGACGACAGGTGATGGTAATTTTGTCGTCAGAAATGCTGAATTTGTATTTCGTTGGGATAAAGGATAACACGAATCAATCAAAATTTTTCTCATTCATCGAAGTGACGGCGTCTCTTCTATCACATCGCCATCATCAATTCATTTCCATTTCTTTTACGCTCTCTCACTTTCTCTCATTCTTACTTTGTGTTGCTGTCGTCGCCGTTGTCGTCGCATTCAATCTGTTATTAATTCTAGTTGAATAAAAACATTGGGCCAAGTTTTAATAATTCATCCGAAATGCAATTCGTATGTTTCTTCATTGATGGATTTTAATTCCCGACCAGCAGCACAAGAAGGCAACAAAAGAAGCGTCCATAATAATGATAAATATGCTTTGACCATGGGCCAGTTGAATAAAATTGATTTTCGTTTGTCGGGTCATAAAATCGTCTTTTGAAAATGGTCTCTCGATTTTGTGTCCATTCCAATAAAATTGGAATTGAACCAATCGGTTGGTGTTCGGCGGCCAAGAAATCGCAATCAAAATGGAACGCATGCAGAAATTTGTTTTTGATAAATACAAGATCAACGAAATTCATCAAATCATTTCCCATTTCGATTCGGATCATGTTTCTGTTCCATTTCGCTCTCTCTCTCTCTCTCTCTCTCTTTCATTTTCTCTTTTTCGATTTGATTGAAATGGCACAAATCGAAAAGAAGCAAAGCCATACCAATTGAAAATGCCCATCTCGATCGGGATTATCTGTTTGTCAATAAATTTAATCCGACTATCGACCAATCGTTCGATAGACAATCGTCACGAAGCGAAGGAAAAAATAGATGATTTGATATTTGCGAAAGGGAAAATCACATCTTCCATTCGGTATGACACGAAAACGTATCTTTGTTGGATTTGCCAAACTTTGTGTGGTCGTCGAATTATGATGAGCGATTGTCAAACACCGATTTGGTTTTGTTTGGTGAAATTAAGCGCTCCAGCCCCATGATACCGATGCCCAAATGTCATGATATTCGGTCGACCCGATTGAAAATGAAATTTCTGTTGGCATTCAATGGCTTTTCAGAACGAAACGGACACACAGGGCACAAAACCAAAATGCGCTTCCTTCAGAATCGTAATCCATTTACCAAACGATATCTCGAGCAATGAAAATATTTAGAACAGTCTAGTGGAAGTAGCAATGGTAGGCGAGCAAAAGGCGCCATGCAAAAAATTGAAAGAGAAAAATGTTATGAGTTGCACGAAAAATCGGCTCAATGTGTGTGTAATAAAATTAACAATATCTAATGCGAGGGCTCTAACGGAGATTTCAGCGGCAGCAACGGTGGTGTTGGTGGATGAGAGTCTCTGTAGCTAGCAATAGCAATAGCAATACAACAGTGCACACACACACACACACACACACACAGCGAGTGCGAGATATCATTTAGCGAATCCTCAAGAGACAAATAACGACTTAACTGGGATCTATTTTGCCAAATGTGTCCACCAAAGAAGACAAAACGGATACGGGGGGCCAATGCAAACGTTAAACCGAAAGCAGACCGCAGAGATTGCGGATTTGAAAGAAAGAGTCGAATCGCAGCAAAAGCGACACATTTCTCATTGGCACACAGACGCACACACACACACATGCCAGTGGCTCTCGATTTATGGTCATAGATATGCTGCTAGACACAAACAATTTCTGTCACATCCGGCAACGGAACAACTACGAAAAAGCCGCATGTGAAGTGAGACGACGACGATTCTGGGGAACAAAAATCCAAATAGTTAACTTCATGCCGCTTACTGCGATTTGCAAATGTGAAACAAGAAAAATTGAATGGTTTTTCAAACAAGACACGTTTCATCGACGAACAAACCGTCTCTTTTTCGGCTCACCGTTTTCGGCTCATTGTTCTCGAAGGGATGTAAGTGTGTGGGCACAAGTGCAAGACCCTATTTGATGGAAAGACACACACATACACGTGCGCGCCCGGCCAAAAATTGACTTCATTTTGTTTAAGGCAAAGTGTTTTTCACATCAAAATCTCTAGTCATAAATTCGCATGATCATAATACGATTTATTATTTTGCAGTGTCACTCGCTCTCGCCCACTCCTTCTCTCTTCCTCTCTGTGTTGTGACCAAACAGAAAACATTGTAATGTGCCCGAGACGTAAGCAAAGCACCCGTTGAAGCATTAGCATTGAAGCTGTTTTTGTTGGCTTCATTGGGCTGTGGCATCTTTAAAATCGAATTTATCACTGAAAAATGGCATCCAATACATAACTGCTGCCACCACCACCATCACCGTCGCCACTGCCGAAACAGCGCACACAATACCGATTTCGGGGAGTACGCACGACTGAAAATTGTTCAATGTTATTATATTTGCTCGTTCGCATTTACACTATCCTCTCTCTCTCTCTCTTGACAAAGCGTCTCCCCTCTGGAAAAAATAAAAACAACGGCATGGAAGATGGTTATGCACCGCAAACACAAACATTCGGTCGATTTGTCTTGAGCAAATTCTATCATTTGCATGCAGGTCACTGCTCATTTCCACTTGATTATGTTTTATCACTTGTGCTTTTGGCTGTATCCATCATATTTTTGTGTGGTTCTACAAATTTTTTTCGTCTATGTTCGGCCCGAAACAATGCCACCGACCAGAGTGAGTGGGTGTGATGGAAAAGTGGAGGTGAGGTGCGATATAAAGAAGAAAAATTGATTTAAAATAATGTTTCCGGATCAAAATTGCTCATCTTTTCTTGATTCGATGTCAGTTTTACTAATGCACGGCATTTTGTCCTGTTTTTTTTAGCACTACATGGAATGTAGGCTATTGTAATTGTTTTTTTATTTTTACGAGAAAAATTTTAAGACTCTTTGGGCCACTTTTCTGGACCGAAAATTAATTCTTTTTTCTAACCAAAGTTCTAATTTGAAATGAAGAAATTGCGCTTAATTACAAAAATGAAATAAAATCATGTACACGTAATTCTCTTTTGAGATAACTCGGAAAAAAAAATTTCACATTATTTTAATTCCCAATGTGAAATAATTTACAATCCAAATTCACATTGAACGTACATAAAACCCTTTATTAAAGATTACAATATAATATATATAGAACAATATAGAATTATAATTTTATTCAATTGATTGATTTATTATTATTTATCACTCTCGAAAATCCTGCCATATCTGTTATTAATATACCTTGTAGTAAAAGCGTTCATAGTGTTTCACTGTAGTAGCGGTGTATCCTATTAAATTTTCTTGTAGTAATACTACAGTGGAATTTAATAGGATACTTTGCTACTACAGTGAAACACTATGAACGCGTTTACTACAAGGTATATTAATAACAGATATGGCTGATTTTTGAGAGTGATAATATCATAATTATTAATAATTTTTGTTTTATTGGTACTTGAACTTTCAATTTTCCCTTCTTGACTGAATTACGTAAATTAACAATTTCCACCATGACATCGTCGATTTCTACGAAAAAATAGAGTCCGAATCGAACATACTTGATATTAATTCTAATCATTTTCATAAAATAAAGAAATGTATGCTTCGATTGAAACTACATTCTATGTAGTGCTTCGATGAATAATTTGATGGGAACATCAAATTAATTTAAACTTTCAATTTTAAATAACATATAGAACGCAGAGAGGAGCGAAGCGACGATCTGCAGTCTTGTTTTAATATTGTCTGAACGGTCGGATGAAAAATGAAACGTAGGCGAACGAAATGGATTTTTGAAATGTATGAAAAATTATTGACCATTTATTTGGATTTAGCAAATGGAATATACTTGCAACGGACAAGTTGATTATTTTATTTAACCAAAATAAAGGCGTAATCAACCAACCAACGGTTGACTGAATAGTCAACCATTCAATTTTCATTTCAGCCGAATAGATTAATTCAGGGGTTTTGAACGTGGGTTCCATTTGTTATATCGGAATCCAGAGGTAAATTTAATGACTTTCGGTGCTGTTTTGATCATTTTTGTTCGACGGCTCGAAAGTCACTTGACGATGCGACACGACAACGAACAAAAGAAAAACCCTCCGAAACCAACAATTCCAAGCTGAAGCCGTTCGAACAAAACAAAACAGTTTGTAAAGTGGTGCATGTATAAAAGGATGATCCGAATTAACTTAATTCAAACTTTGATTTCAATACAAATCAATTCGCCATTATCAAAATCGTGCTCTATCCTTTTGTGTGTGTGTGTGTGTGTGTGTTTATGTCGAGGGCCAGTATGCCGTGGTTGGTTTTCCCTTTTACATTTCACCAGAGTGAGTGTTGCGTGTGTGTGTATATGTTTTATGATGCTCGCTCGCTTGCTCTCACTCCTTCCACCAGCTGTGACTGGTGTTTGCGTTTGAACTGTGAGGCGCATGTGTCACAACTTCTTATTTTGGAGGTTGAACTTTCGTGTGCGTGTTTCGCATCAAATTGTATTTACCAGGGCTCTACTCTTTGCTTCTTTACGTCCTCTCTCTCACTTCTGCTCATCGACTGCCTGATGAGCTCTCTCTCTCTCTCTCTCTCTCTCTCTCTCTCTCATCGTATATCTCTTTGCACGCGAACACATACACACAAACACGGCTCAAATTGATTTGGCCCGTACCTTCGCTCTATTGTTCATTATCATTCAATTTTTGGTTATTTAGCATTTCATTTTGGGTGGCAAAATCCATTGGCGATGCATCATTTTAATTCATTCATTTACTTATTTTAAGAACACTTGATCATACCGCACACACAATTCACATATGTCACGATATTTTTTGCCTTTCTACCAGCGCCATACTACTCGGTCTCGGTGTGTTCAACTTAATTCCTTTACGGTTGCATGCGCATCAATGTTGCAAACGGAAGAGATAGTGCGAGCAGCCGAGAAACAGAGAGAGAGAGAGAAAGAGTGAATCGAGAGACGAGGGAACGTGGAAAAACGCACCAAATTCTGCATGGAATGTATAAATAGAGAAGGACATCGAAACAGAGGTCGTAAATGAAATAAACTTTTAGTAGGTTTTTGGCACACACACACACATTGTCGAATACGAAACGATTTCCATTGTTTGACACCGCCTTTGGCTTTGACTATCTCTCTGTGTCTTGCGCTACTTGACAAATGACAAATTAATTGTAATTTAATCAATTCACGGCTCACAACAAAGACGACCGACGAGAAAAAAAAAGAATGAGAGATGCAGAGCAAGTGAGAACCTGCTTTTTTGTACTTTGCATTTGAATTGTGTTGTGATTTTTTTTCGGCCAAATGTTTTTTTTGGTAGGGGAATCGCGCATCATTTGCTATTGTTGCGATTGACAAAAGGCAACGGTTTTTCGATTCTTTTGATACAATGAATCGATTTTTTTCGGCGAAATCACAGCAAGAGTATTTTTGACAAATCACATCGATTGAATGGAATCGATGAATAATTGCTAAAAAAGCGTGTTTGAAGGAAAATATGGCGAAAACTGATGATTGATTTCAAATTTCTTTGCTTTGTCATAGCAAAGGAAAAATGATAAAACGATCTATTTTGACACTCATGGTATATCAATGATCCGAGGATAAAGAGAGAGAGGTGAGGCACGCAGTGCAATTTGCAACATATCGACGTTCGATTTTCAACGATGCATACCCATCTGTTAACCAAACCGTATAATAAATTACCATTTAATATAATCGCATGACTTTAGCACACATGAGCCAAAAAGTAAACGTGCACGTATGTAATGAAGTACTCACTACACCATCGTCATACTCTCGAGCTGCATGGCCGATATTTGGTACTGGTGCATTCAATTGGTTTAGTGGATTTTGGTTGTAACGCGGAATATAATTCATAAATGGAATATCATTATCTTGTAAACATTTCAAGAGAGAACGAACAGGCGCGATTGTGTGCGTGTATGTGTCTGTGCCACCGATGTGCCCTCTGAGCTCTGAACAATCATTTTAAAATCCATTTAGTCTCGATGCACAGATTTCTCTGTCTGCCATAATCCCGTTTAAATGTTTGAACTGTGCTGCAAGTATAACTTACATTTTATTGTAGCAAGTTTCAACAGACGGTCGTATTTCTCCCACTGACTATCATTCACTCGCTCATTGCTCGGCTGTGGAACCTGCTCTATCATTTGACTTGCATCCAACCAACCGACCGATATTTTTTTCTGTTCGGAAGTTGAGCGGGGAAAAAGGAGGCGTTTGCTTTTTTCAATTCCGAATCTTCTTTTTTTTTCATTTGACTAAAGCGCGCTCAAGACTAAGTACGATTTAATGCCATCTGATGCCACTCAACAATAAATGACTTACGCATCCCTGAATTATAATACACTGAAATGCTCGAGCACGACGGCAATGAAAAACAGAGAGAGAGAGAGATAGAGAGAGAGAGAGAGAGAAAAAAAAACATACCCATGTGGAATGAGGCGAATGAGGGAAGGAGCTTAGTTTCACTTTCACAAAACGACATTTAACAATCAACCAAGCCTCAATTCGACATTTTTTCGACCAGATTTTCCATTTCAGCCCATCCACCAAATGGATGGTCCTTCAAACGAACAAAAAAATACGCACGAACCCAACTGAATGTAAATGGACACAGAGAATATTATAACATCTGACTTGTGTTATAAAATGCGTTTGAATTTCCTTTATGCAGGGATTAAATGGCTTTAAATAATTGTTTGATCATAAAAATGTTGAATTTTAATTCGCGCGAGCTCAAACTGTACGGAAGAGCTGGATTTTTAGGGTTCGCCGGATGCAATAAGCAAATTGCATTTATGTAAATGGTGTGATTTATTAATTGAATGCATGAAATATGAATATTTTTCAACGGGTACATCACATTAAAATGTGACAATTTGTCCAAAACGATAACGGTGCATAAATGCACGGCCAAATGTCGAATTTTCAACCTTTTTTCTGTATGCAATTTGCTTTTCTAACATCGAATCACTTAATATGCTGCAGTTTGGCATTCTGAATCTTAACGATTGATATAAAACTCATATATGTTTGAAGCCCAAATTGCACCAGTTGGAAATAATCAGGAAACATTAACTGTAATTTTTCATCATTCGTTCAATTTTATTTCATGAGTAAAGAGTTCAATGTTCAACTGTTTTCGAATTACAATCTCCTTCTTCACCTATTTTTACTTTGTACACGTTTCTTTCTCTGATGGTAAAATTAAAGAAATACAATTTGACTCACCGATAAATCAATTTTCGTCGTACGCTGCGTTTAAAGAATCCCGAGCATCCGTTGCATGCCAAAATGCCGTAATGTTTTCCTGAGCTGGTGTCACCGCACACAACGCATATCAGTCCAAGATGTTGAAACTTTCGATTTCCATTGACCATTGACATGGAATTACCGTTGCTGAGCGTTGAATTTGCGTCGGTACTGTTATTCGTGGACATATTCTGTGGTCCCGACGGTGGCCATGACAATAGTCGATTTCCTGTTGGTGAATAGCATCCAACGGGTGACGAAGATCGATGATCTAATTGAATTGAAATCGAAAATAAAAACAAGAAAAAAAAAACATTTACGAATAAAGTTTATTGAATTCCTTTAAAAAAAAAAAAATATTGAAGAATGATGTGCAAAGCAAATGATTGAATTTTTCTGTCGATTTTTCCTCTCCGATCGAATCTGTGTGATAAATGTGGGTAAATTTGCAACATACGTACGAGTGGTGTTAAATGTTTTTATGTTTTGGCGTAGAAAAATATCGGTTAAACGCTTCAATAAATTTTTAATGAATTGCGTGTAATTTGAGGAGTGATTTCAACGCACAACAAACACACACACACACATTGAAACATGATACCAAATTCGAAATGATTCGCTTGAGTCCTTAATAAAAGCAAACGATTATAGAGATAATATTTACTGCAGTCGTGCGCTCGCTCACTCTCTCACTTAAACAACCAATTTAAGTTCTGTTTTTTTTTGTTGTTGTTGTCTCTTTGTACTGTGGATGATGAAGGGAAAAATGCAACCGATCAACTAAAATATGGAGTGAACGACTCACCGTTCGTTCATTTAACAACTGGTAAAGTCGATGCATCACGTCAAATATACCAACAACAGCAGCAGCAGCAGCAGCAACAACAACAACGAAGAACAAAAATCCATTGTGAGAGCAAATTGATGAACAATGTCAAAAAGAGACAATGCGACCGCACATCGACACTATTTTGTGCAACGCTTAGCTAAGCACCGTATTGTTTACCGACAAAAATCACAACCCCTAATTTGCTGCGTGTATATGTTTTGTCGGCACCTTTGCCGTTTGTTCAATAGCACGGTGCTGTTGCTGGTACGCACACACACACACACTTCTTCGCATAAAAATATTTACATTTATTATTTGGAAATTCGACGGTGCATAGTGTGATTCTTGGTGCATGCACTTTGAGCGAGGGGTGACCGGGACTCGGTATGAAAATATGCGACTGCTGTATGCTACAGATGATGCCAGCAAAGAGGAGTGAAAACGAAAGATCGTCAAATAAAATTAAACATGTAAAACATGATTGTATTATGGCTCAATTTTGTTTAGATGGTTGTCATTTAGGGCGAGCATATTAGCAACAGCACCAGCAACAATAGCAGACGAAGAGAGAGAAAGAGAGAGAGAGAAAAGTTCATGTTCCTTGAATCAATTACCAGTATCGGGTCGGAAATGCTCGGTAGATATTGAATATGATTTTGATTGCCCTTCGTACGATTCCGAGTGAGTAATAAAAAGTCGACATAAGTTGAATTGAATCATATGTTTTCTGTTTGTCTATTACACCGGAACGAATTTAATGTCGATTTAGTTAGAGGACCAGAGCAAATGTACAGGAAGAAGCAGACGGAACGATGGCATTTGTGAACAATGCAAAAATAGCCTGAAGATAAATTTAAGAGCAATAAAATCAAATCAAATCAAATCAAACAATAATTGAGTTAATTTTGTTTCGACTTCGACAACCATGTCGTTGACATGTCTTGTTGGTGGTTGCGTGTGTGAATGTATTTGGAGACTTGACTGATTTCCGGGGGCGGCAAGTCAATAGCACACTTTCCATTAAATGGGAAAACAAAAACAAAAAAACATTCCGGTAAACAGAATGCAATGTGCGTTCAGCTCGAATTGTGACACACACACCCGTTGAACGGTAGCTGGCCCGCGCGCTCATTCGCTCTCAATACAAATTGCAGTCACTTGCAACTTGCTGCTGCTATCATTGCACTTTGAGAATGACGAGAGAACATCGTATTGAACAACAACGACGACGACGACAACAATGAAAAAAGGAGGACAACTCGCGAGCAAATATAAACATGCACAAAGCGGATTTATTGAACTCAGTCGCGCGCAAAATTAACCGTTGTTCGTGGTCCAATAAAAAGGAGCCAAAAAACCAACAACAACACATCGAGTGAATGGGAGCAAGAACGAACGAAAAATACACGAAACGGTTGAAATAACGTAAATAAATTCAAGGAATCCCATATTTAACGTGTGATTAATCCTACATTCGATGCAAATGTGCGTACACAGAAAAACTTACAACAATAACAATAAAAGTCGTAAAAAAAACATGTCGATTGATTCAAATGGAGGAAAGTGACGATCGACTAGGAGAAAAAATAAGATGTAATCGTTACATAGCCACACTTTTTCCACTTCGGTTTCACGGTTTTTAGTTTTGGTTGAGTCAATATAACAATGGAAATAAAATCGAAAACTTGTAATCGATTGAAGTGATGCTCAATGCTGGTGCAATGATCTCTCCCTCCTCCATTTTGGATGTGACGTGACTTGAAAGCGAATCGTCGCTATTTTTATGTCTGATTGGAAAATAACCTGTAAAGTAATGATCTCAATGCCCTCACTCTTACATACACACCCATATATTGCATTCGCTTTTGACGTGCATCAACTATTTATACGCAGGTTTGTTTATCGTCAGCACATTCATCTGTTTTAAAAATGCGCTCCACCCGCCCCATCACTCTTCGCTCTATTTTCACTCTATCTCTTTTAAGCGCATAGTTTCAAACCGCACTTCAGCATGGCGTTGCCGTCAAAAAAACCGATCGAAAACATGAGTTAAAATTGAACGGGGAGAGAGCGAGAGAGAGAGCGAGAGAGAGAGAGAGAGAGAGAGAGCAAGAAAAAAGAGAAAATAAACAATCGAATGGCTTGACGAAAAAAGTGGTTTGCTGTGATCATTTTTAGATCGAATGCCTCATCTTTGGCCAACCTTTGTGTGTCATTTCGTTGAAAACAGAAACAAAAATGCTGCCACGGCTTGCCGCTGATGCTTACAATTGCGCGCCTGAAATTCTTTTGTTTTATCAACGCTCAACACCGCTCAAATGGGCGACCACAGACACAAACACGAGGAGAATTTGTATGAGAGAGAGAAAGAGCGTGTACGAATCATGTCAGTGCCTCGTGCATTGCATCGATTTCAGGTGTTTGTTAATTCTTATTGTGTGTGAGTGTGTGCTTTTTTGTTTCAGTTTTTCGGTTTTTTTTTCATCAATTTTATTGTTACCATCATTAATTTTGATGGAAAAATATTGACTCAATTGTGTCATCATCAAGATGCGCGCGCGCATCTGAAAGTCCACCGAAAACTGGTTTTTTCCCACTGACGAAATTTCAAACGCAAATGCATTTTAATTCGATTCAATTCCATTCTTTTGATAAACAATAAAATGGTTTCCTTTTTCATTGGCATCGAAGACGATGAGCTAAGAAGATGAAAACCAATGACAAGAGCGAATAAAGAAGAAGAGAAATGAAAACGCATCTTGTTTGCGTTGCAAGTTTTGGCTGATCGATTGAATGGCTGTGTTTTGTTTGACCAGACAAAGCCAAGACGAACCAAATGAAATTCGTAACCAATCCACCATATATAACCGTCCATATCCGTGTGTCGACACCACATGTGGACAGTGTGCATTTGTCACAGCAACTTGTTGTTTTCTCTCTTCGTTCTATTTCTTTCTTTTTCTATTTACTTTGATGCGTTATTATTATAGTTTTTTATATCAATATTTGCATTCTGGTTTTGTTTCGTTGCGGGAAAAGTAAGTTGCTCTCATAGCAGAGTGAGTTGGTCCCAGAGAGATAGAGAGAGAGAGAGAGAGAGAGAGAGAGAGCGTGCAGAATGAAAAATGCATGCCGTTAAATGGGCTCATTTTTCATCACTCAAAACGCTTAATAACCAATGCGGAGAGAACAACGCTTTGATCAATTGATGAGGAGAAATAAATTCAGGTAGCCGAATGAATTTGTTGCGCTTTATTGTTTGATTTGCGGATACGCTTCATCTTATACACCAAAAGAGATTGTGAATAAAATAATTGTTGAATGCTGAATAGTATTCACTGACTAGAATGTTATGCTGCTGAGAGTCGTTGGCAAAATACCTACTTCGATTGTTAGTCATTTTTCGTATCGCTTCAAATTCGGGGTGTTCTAATTTTGAAAATTCGGCTCAAACAAATACCGGATCATTAGTCTCAGTTGCATTGCAATGTGTGTCCTTGTTTGATTGACGCCACAATTAATGATCGCACGATAGATACGATCATTTCAGGTGGACTCGCGTTGACACACACATCTCGTTCGTCTAATGATGGTATTACGAGTGACCAATTCGAACCGATTAACACCAAATCCCATTGCCACAATACATATTTGTGATAAGCCCGTGGACTTTCTACCGAACAGAAGAAACAAATCAAAAACTTGTCAAAACAAAAGATGAGAAAAAACTACGTAGGAAACGTGAAAGAGACATTTGAACTTGGAACCGTTGTTATTTGACTCATATTGAATCTTCCAGATAGGTGCTCAAGTCATCGAGAATGTAAACAGAAAACACATTTTTGAACGAGTGGATCATTATTCAAAGAAAGGGGAAACAGTAGCTTCTTAAGAAGAAAAAAAAATAAAACAAAAATTCAGTCATAATTAAAGATCCAGACGATATAAGTCATCGTTTAAATATGACGTGTCGACAGTTGCTCTTTAAATTAAACGAGTCGTCTCTATCTATCTCTGTTCCAATATTTTCATTGAATTTACATAATTGAACTAGAGAAGAGCAATGGCAGAAGAGAATAAAACGATGTCAAACTCTATGAATATGTGTGTTTTTTGTTTCTCGATGCGACAATATCAACAATCAAACGCCTTGCGTCTGGTGTTTGGAATTCCTTGAGGCTTGAATTAATCACAAATGTGTTCTAATTAAATAGTATGAGCCTTTGACCGGAATTAACGCCAGAAAGAGACACACACAGAGAGAGAGAGAGAGAGATCATTCCAAGGAAATGGAATTACAAACAAAAACTACTGTTAGCACAGCCAAAAGTTAAGCCTTTACCATCGCCTATATATAGGCACGGAGAGAGACAAAGGAAGTGAAACAATGAACGTTACGAAGGTTCCAAACGAATGCTCTTGTTCTGGCAAATGTGAAAGCACCTTTCAAGAGCAGACATTACATGTGCCTGCCAGTTCGATTGAAATCAGAACAGAACCATGTGAGGTGAGCTGATGTAAAGATGTGACCTTAGCCTTCGATTTGCACTCCATTTCGAATGCCAAAGTATAATTTGCAGTTTAATAGAGCACATCGACCTGTTCAAACACCTAATGAAAATGAATAAACCGCTATCAAACGGTCTGCAAAAGAATGATTGATCTTAATTGTGTGAATTGGAAAAAAAAGCGTGATGCGAATGAATTTGATTTCGTTTAAAATATGAATAAATCACCTTGACTAATTTGAATGAGAGATTGTAATGCAAATAAATCGCGTCTGTCTGTAAGTTGAAAATAAACGCATAAGATTGGAAAAACACACACAATTCCCCCTTTTCACTTCCTCGTCCAACTACTGGGACTACCTTGTTGTTGTTGTTGATTGCACATGAGACGCAATTGTCGCATTTGCACTGTTTACTTTATTTTTTCCGCTTAACTGTCAACAAAGATTCACAAAATGGCTCAATATTTACCTGTTGTTTCCGATAATTTGGTTTCCATTTTGAGATTTTGTTTGGTTTATTTTTAAAATTAAGTTCGTCCTTTTCGAGAGAAAAGTTCCGTAATGTCACTTTTAAAATTAATTTGTCCGGTTCAGATTGTCACTGAATCATCAAATTTTGCCCCAAAACGTACAGTTCAAATCCTTTTTTTCCAAAATCTTTTGCTCATTTTCCGTTCGAAAAAAGGTAGGCGTTATATCAACAGTTTCACAGTTTTAAACATTCTCAACTTCTTATCGTTGGCAATTTTTCTCAATTGGTTATCAATTCCCAATTCAAACTTGTTTTGAGTGAAGAAAAGTATTTTAAGCACAAGTTAAATCTGTAAAATGGTTGAGGGCAAATTTTGTGTGGCCACTTGTTCAAATACAAATTTTTTTCCGTTTAAAATTTTAGTCATAAGTTGAGCAGGAAATCGATTCACTTTTCATCACGTCACACACAAAACAAATTCATTGCTAAATTTCGTTTAATCACTTCAATTGTCAATAAACAGAAAAAAAACCGAAAATTCCGCGAAAAAAATAAAACAAATATACAATTTCGAATGCAAAAAATAATCATCGACAAAATAATGGTAAAATTCAATTGTGATCCTCGTGTATTTACAAAATTGCGCGTGCACGAGAGAAAGAAAAAACCAGTAGAACAAAATGTTGCGAGAGATGCTGCTGAAAAATTCCAAGACCGTTCGTTATCAACAAGAGTTCGATCGAAACTAAATGATGATATTTGTTTCCTTTTCGAATGTGTCGAACCACTTAAGCGACTTTCGATCAACAACCGAATGACACTCTTATAGCATCATCGGCTAGAAAATTACATGTGTGGATTGGGTGATTGACTGCCTTTGCGTTTGACTGCTTCGTGACTACTTTTCTCTCTCGCGCTGGAAAGCAATACGCTCGTTCGCTTGCTCGTTCAATGGGTACACACACTGTTCGGGGCGCGCGCGAGAAATAGATAGAGAGAGAGAGAAGCAGCAGCTGGTGGTATATGACTTGCGAACCACCACCACACCACCACCATCACCACCGAAAAGCAACGAGATGAGCACACATAGCGAGCAAGAGCGAGCGAGAGAGAGAGAGAGAGAGTACGCCGGATAACGACAATGGCAATTGTAGCTCTTGTGTATGCATACGGCGTGAACGAACCAACCAACAAGCAGTATTAAAACGAAAAAGCAAAGCATCGAACAACGCGAGAGAGCGCGCGCGACAAAAACACACGTACGAAGCAACAACAACAATAACAATTCATATAGTACACATCGAAAGAGACATACGAAAAATATTAAAGCGAAGAGAACAACTATAGAAAAAAAGCACAGCATCACAACAACAAATGGCACACGTGAAGCGAATGAATACACGCGCAAGGTACTACGCTTTACCTGCCTGCCAGCCAACCCAACGGCCGAAAGAGATAACAAAAGCGCGCTGTATTTTCGATCTAATGTTTGCTGGAGTGTTATTATTTTCCATGTCGAACGCGTAGGAAATATTTACGGTATGGCCGTTTCAAAATGATATGATATCACCGTGCCGCCACTACCGCCACCGCTGCCGCTATCGCCATCGTTGCTATTGCTGATATTGCCTGGATGTTTAACTACATTTATAATAATTTCGAGTTGGGATGGTATTTGTGATCGAGCCACATCTTGCTTACTCACTCGCGCACTCCATTTGGATACACACGCGTTTTTGTGTGCCAATGGGGAAGAGAAAAAGAGAGAGAGAGAGAGAGCAGGTATCAAGTTATAGAAATATTGATTCATATTTATACACATCAAACCACCTTTAGCATCAATGTACCGCACGCTCTCTTTCTCTTTCGTTCGCGCTCACATTCGCACTCGACGGCACTATGTGTATTATTATGATTCGTTCTACTTGATTTCAAACATTCCGATTTTATTTTTGTCATAAGCCGCATCCTCCTCAAACACCCATCATAAAACGGCATCAAAAGCTCGACATTGCTTCCCCAATAACAACAAACGACGACAACGATACGACGGCCACATTTCTGATGGGGTAAATAGAAGGAGATAGGTACGATGTGCATTTCGATTCGTTCGACGGATGAAATATTGACATTTTGAAAGTTATCTTTTTGTAAACAGCCTCGCACACTCTTCCACCATACAAAAGAGTCTTTGCCAAAATTGTGACGCACGACGCGATGTCATCGAATCAAATGGTGAAAATGCTAGCTCCCATTTAGTGTACGGCAGCAAAAAAAAAATCAGATAATCACCTCAATTATTTGAAGTGGAAACTTTGTCCAATTCTATACCGTCCATAAATCCAATTAATCGCTCTCAATGCGAAAAATAAGTTTTCTATAAAAGAAGCATCAGCACCAACCAAATCAAGAGCAAAGAGCTAGCGTAACAAAAAAAAGAACGAGCGGGAAAAAAGGAAGCAGACAAAAGCTGATCCAAGCTGAAAATCAACGGGAGGGTTGTGGCTCCAAAAGCCAAAACAGCTTTAAGGATGAAAGTATTTGGGAAATGCGATGCGAAACGGGAAATGATATATTGTGGGCTAAACACACACACACAACAACAGCACGGTAGTTGCTGTGATTGAACTCTGATCCTCGGCATACGATGTGAGCAAGAGCAGCAACGATGAACGATAACAGCGACTCTTATGATTCGATGTTAAATCTTAACCACGCCCACTGCTTCAAACGATGGTACTTGTCGTGTGTTTGTTTGTGTTTTTTTCTACTTCTTTCGTTTTGTTTCCCGCTACACTCGGCTCTCTAAACCATATTGACTGCGTAGAGAGAGGTGGAGTCGACGTCATGTGTATGTACGGCCAACGTACACAGCAAACGTGCAGCGGATGCTGCTGTACACATAACGTAGTTACGTATATTTATATAGACAGAGATACGTTGCGATTATGATGTTCCCCGTTTAGCACCACACATAAATATAGCAAGCTCAATGTTTCGATTTATTTTGGATGAGAGCGAGCGAGCGAGCGAGAATGATGGGCTGACGAGTATATACACACGTATACATGTTGTTGAATTGTATCTATCGCCAATTGAAGCGAGATGTGCCAACTGAAGGCAATATGGATGGATGGATGGATGGATGATAGCGTATTCTTTAGCCGCCACACTGTGCTGCTGCCACTTGAATTTTGTTTGTTCGATGGATGTTGTTGGCGGACGACGACGGCAGCACCCGATAATATTAGATTTATTTTTTATTTTTTACTTTTCACCATTTGCCATCAACGCGCAACCATTACAGAACAATGGGTATATGGCAGCCAAGCGAGCGAGAGGGTGAGCGAGTGAGCCAATGTGTGCGCAGACAAACAACCGGATAGCGCTTCAGCTATGGCTACTGCTGCTCCTGCTAACCAGCAATCAAATTAGAGCGCCAGGAATCGGGTGGCAAAACGCAGAGCCATAAAATGAATGTGAAAGTAAAGTCGACACACACAAAACTAAAGATTGAAAAACAAATGAAGATCAGAATTGGATAAACGATAAATAACGAGCAGCTCTCTATAGCAGCAGCAATCGCAGCACCTCTAATTCGCTCTTTATGTCGTTGCCATGGATGTCGTTGTCGATATTTGTTTCCATTTTATAAGTATTGGCATGCGGAATCAGCGGCGTAAATGAGATTAGATGGAAACTTAGCACTTCACTCACTATGTATTCCAATTGTCTATGTGTGAGCGCGTTGTTTTTTATTTCGCCCTTCACATCTCACAATCATCGCGTCGAATCATTTGGCAAACATAGACCGAAATATTAAAAACACACAATTTCCATTCAATGAAGAAGTTTGAAAATTTTTGTTCTGGGATTTCGTTCAATTTGCACACGCTTAATTTTCTATTTGTTATTTTTGATATGACTTCTGTTAGCCACATTATTCTCGAAAAGAGAGATCAAGACCGAATGGAATGCGTAAATTGAACATGTTGTGTGTATTTTTTTTTCACACGTTTTGTGAATGGAATTGATGCACACGCGCCACGTTCATCTCTTGCAATTGGCAGCGGCAGCGATCGAAATACCAATAATTCGAAAACAAAACTCACTGTGCAAACAAAACAATCTGATGGATTGACGTAAATGGAAATGATTCTTGAAGCAAAAACAAAATTCGCAGACTTTTTTTCCCTTTCAATTCTCGTTGTAGTCAGACTTGTTTATATCTCTCTCAAAAAAAAAGAAGAAGAAGAAGACAACCGATTTTTCAGACGAGATATGGTTGTGTGCTGTGAATGCTGTAAATGGATGGGGAATTTGGATTGCAATGAAAGATTTTCTTTGTTTTTTTTTTTTAATTCAATGCTTTAAATTTTTTTATTGATTGATACGAAATGGGTTCAGGTTGATAGAATTGATATGACATTATGGTATTATTTCATTAAACGATGAACGATGATCCATTGTGTTGGCCGAAATCAGTTCTGTCAGTTGGTTGGGTTCAATCAATATTTTGCTGGAGCTGGTGCGTAGGCAGCGGCTGGTGGAGCTGAGCGAAAAAAGACAAACAAGTTGGAATTAGTCAAAGTCATTTCGGAAAATTTAATCGACAAAAAGAATTGTTTGAAATTTGTGAGAAGTGTTGTTCTCAAAACAGAAACATTCATTAGTTTGATTGAAAATATTCATTGAATTGGTTCAATTGTTAGCATGAGCGAAAAATGTTGAAAATTCTTACCGTATGCAGGCTTAGCAGCGTATGGGGCTGGGGCTGGGGCATAAGGTGCTGGTGCAGGGAAGGTTATAAAAAAAAAAACGAAAAAAAAAACAAATTAGTCTTTATAGTAAGATAACATTAAACTTCAATGAAGTGAAACGTTGCTGTCTTCGTGATCAAGTCTTACCTGGTGGAGGTGGTGAGCATCCAACGGTCGAAACAGATGGGGCGCAGCCAACTAGCAAGTTTTGTCCGCATGGCACTGCTGGTGGTGGACTTGGGTAGGTGTATGGCATTGGTGGGCTTGGATAGACAACAGCTGGTGGTGCTATTTGAACGAATGGGAGAGAAATCGAAGTGTCAAATTAGTTGGAAATTTTTGAGAAAAAAAATATGGTTGATGAGTTTTGAAACATGAAAGGAGTGTTATTCTTACCGTAAGCTGCAGCTGCTGGGTAGGCTGGGGCTGCTGGGTAAGCTGCAAACAAGAAGGGGATCACAAATTAATACAATTGAATGGAAATAGAAAAAGAACAAGAACTACTTTTGGGGAAAAAGATGTTGAATTTTAATTACCTGGTGCTGATCGCTTGTAACCGTGTGAGTTATAGCCAGAGCTGTATGATGGTTTTGGTGCGTAAGCTATAAATAAAACGAAAAAAGTGAAAATGTTATTATTGATATTGATGGTTTCGTTAGAAAAAAACATAACGCTTGATTTCAATTAAACACTAGTTGGCCTAAACGCTTGTTTGATCATTCGACATGATTGTTTCATTCGTTTGTTCGGTTCAAATCACATTTTTTTTACATTTAATTTTCCAATGTAAAAAAACTTGGTTCGAACTGAACAACAAACTAACACAATTCCGAACGAAAGAACGTTCGAAGCCAAAGCTACACTTTATAAACAGTAGATTCAAGTCGAAAATTTTCACTTGCATTTTGGTGCATAAGCTGGAGCGGGATATTCTGGTGCGGCGTAGGCTTTTTTGATTGAAAAAAGAAAAAAAAATGAAACAAGTTAGTGTGATCAATGTATAAAAAGTTGATCATCATGAAGTTATCGACAAGCATATGGGAGAAAGGAATCTATCTCGTGATGAATGAATTACCTTTTGGTGAAGCGTAGACAGGGGCTGGAGCTGAATAAAATAATGAAAAAGTAGAATAAATTGAAATAAGTCATTGATCAGGCAATATTTGTCACTTTGTTGTATCAATTCTAAATTGAATTGGTTCGGTATGAGCAAAAACGTTGATATTCTTACCGTATGCAGGCTTAGCGGCGTATGGTGCTGGAGCAGAAGCGTAAGCAGGGGCTGGAGCTAAGCGAAAAACGAATAAAAAAACAAACAAGTTCCAATCAGTTAAAGTCAATTCGGAACTATGAGAAATTCAGTTGAAAACGAAAAAGTGAAATGTTGATATTCTTACCGGCGTAGGCTGGTTTTGGAGCATAAGGTGCAGGAGCATAAGCTGGTGCAGGTGGACTATAAGCTGGTGCAGCTAAAATGAAAAAGACGAACGATTAGTCGATGTTTGGCACTTTGTTGTTTCGATTCTGAATTGAATTGGTGCGATTGTCGGTATCAACAAAAACGTTGATATTCTTACCGTATGCAGGCTTAGCGGCGTATGGTGCTGGGGCAGGAGCGTAAGCTGGAGCTAAGCGAAAAACGAAGAAAAGACAAACAAGTTGCAATTAGTTAAAGTAATTTTGAAATTTTGGAAAATTCAATTGACAGAAAGAATTGTGTGAAATTTGAAAACGATTGTGAGTATTGCTGTTTTCTGAACAGAAACATTCATTAGTTTGATTGAAATTATTCATGTTTGATTTTGAAATGGGAAAAAAAAACATAAATATAGTGAATGAATAGCAACTCATAGCTACCTGGAGAGTAGGCAGGGGCTGGAGCTAAACGAAATAATAAAAAAAGTGAAATAAATTGAAATTAGTCATTGATCAGTCGATATTGGCCATTTTTTCGTTTCAATTCTAGCTTGAGATGGTTCGATTGTGGGAATGAGCAAAAACGATGATATTCTTACCGTATGCATGGTTAGCGGCGTATGGTGCTGGAGCAGGAGCGTAAGCAGGGGCTGGAGCTAAGTGAAAAACGATGGAAAAACAAACAAGTTGCAATTAGTTAAAGTCATTTGGAACTATGAAAAATTCAATTGTAAAAGAAAAATTGAAATGTTGATATTCTTACCGGCGTAGGCTGGTTTCGGAGCATACGGGGCAGGTGCTGGAGCGTAAGCTGGAGCTAGTGAAGAAAAGATGAACAAGTTGCAATTAGTTAAATTTGTAATTTCGGAAAATTGACCAAAACAATTGTTTGAAGTGCAGTTTTCAATAGGGAATAAATAGCATTTCATAGTTACCTGGAGCGTAGGCAGGGGCTGGAGCTAAACGAAATGATGGAAAAAATAAAATAAATTGAAATTAGTCATTGATCAGTCGATATTGGCCATTTTTTCGTTTCAATTCTAGCTTGAGTTGGTTCGATTGTGGGAATGAGCAAAAACGATGATATTCTTACCGTATGCATGGTTAGCGGCGTATGGTGCTGGAGCAGGAGCGTAAGCAGGGGCTGGAGCTAAGCGAAAAACGAAGAAAAAACAAACAAGTTCCAATTAGTAAAGTAATTTTGAAATTTTGGAAAATTCAATTGACAGAAAGTATTGTGTGAAGTTTGAAAACGATCGTGTTTTCAATACGGAATGAATAGCATTTCATAGTAACCTGGATAAGCTGGTGCTGGTGGGCTGTATGCTGGTGCTGGTGGGCTGTATGCTGGTGCAGCTAATGGAAAAGACGAACGATTAGTCTTGATAGAATTGGTTCACTTGTCGACATAAGCGGAAACTTTGATATTCTTACGTGCGTATGATGCTGGTGCTGGTGCTGGGTATGCTAAATTATTAGACAAATAAAAGAGAGCGACACGATTAGCACAGTTTCTTCAGCGATGTGAATATTTGGATAAGCACAGTTCATATTCGTAGCGACACATACCTGGTGGAGCATAAACGGATCCGAGCATCTCCGATTCAGATCCCATTAACTACAATCAGAAAACAAACACAAAAATAGAAACAATTAGTCGAGAGAAAAAACTCAGAAAAACATTAAAAAAAAAAATGAAACACGAATCACTGTGTTCACAAGCGCACACACACACACACCTCTTGTTGATCAGCAACATGTTGGAATGGTTCAAGTTCACTGGTTTCAAAATCAAACTCTTGGGCACGGGTGGCGGCGAGAATGATGCCAACAAAGGCAAAAGCAACGATTAAGAACTTCATTGTAGCACAAAGACACAAGTCACAAATCAACTGTACACCTTAAAGTTAATGATTGAACTGATTGTCCTGGTGCCGTGACTGCCTTTATATATGCTGCACTTTCTTTAATTGTCAGCAAAAATTGCCTGACCAATGCACAAAAAAAAACCAAATGCATTCATAACAAATCGCGTACTCATCGGCTACGATGAAGAAAAAAACGCGCGCACACACACACACGATCGGTGTCACTGACATCGATACTTGACTTTGCTTATTCACAGTTCAACAGCACATGAACAGGGTAGAAAAAAAAATTGAAATTCGATCAACAAAAAACATGCACTTTCAATTCGACTGAGGTGAAGGCAAAAAATATGTGCCAATACAGTATGAATTCATTCCAAACGATGATATTTCTAAAGAAAATCGAGGCTTTTTCATTTCAATAACCAACATCAACCAATACTAAATGCAAACCAATAAAATCCGTTCGATTCGATTTGAGATTGATGATTCGACTAGAGACAGAGATATAACAGAAGAAAAGATAAAAAAATTAAAACAATCAATTCCTCTTGATATGGTTCGGTTGCTGTTATTCTTCACATATTCTCGGCACATACCATCCTGTTTGGGTCACTAAATTCGAATTGGCGATAGCTGATTTTGCCATTAATTTGCCATCGATTTATTGACATTTGCATCGATATAATATACATATCCGAATGTGGCGCGTGGATTTGCATGTAGCCTGAGAGAAAAGTTTTCAGTACGCAGTTGGTCGTCATGTGGTATCATTAAACAAAATACAATGGACTGCGACGATTGGTAGCTGGGGTGGTGTGCAAAAGGAACGGAAAACCAAGTCGAATCTAAAATTAATTAAAAATCAATACGACTGCTATCACATTCTGGGTGCTGCTCATGTTAAAGTCCAAGCATCAAGCGACTAAAAATGTCGACGATTTAAGCCATTGTGTAATACACAATGTGTATGTGTGTGTGTGTGGATGTTGGATGGCAGCATCACTACCATTTCAATGGCCATCCAGTCAGAGAGCGACAAACCGGCGAATACAGAGAGATGGAGAGGTATAGAGAGTCACGGCATTAAATCCATAATAATCAATAGTATGTACAATATGTATCGAGGTTCATTCTCTCTCTCCCTCTCTCTCTATATTCATTTGAATATTCTAAAAGAGAGGCTTACTCGTTGTGTCACCATTTTGCTTTTTTTTTATACCAGAACCATCAAATGCTTTGAACTGTATTTTCTCTGCAAATCAAAGTTGTTTATGTATATATAATGTATGTAGAGGGTTTGGGCGCGCTTTCATGTTCGGAATCATCAAACAGACATTGAATGCTTTTATCATCCAAATGAATCGATTACCCATTCAGATGAGAACACACATACACATATTGAAAATGCATGGGCGAAAAGCTATACGAAATGGAGAAGAGAGAGAGAGAGAGAGAGAGAGAGAGAGAGAGAGAGAGGAGAACCGATAAAGTGAATGAGGAAGTGAAAAGAAGTAAAAAGAGTGCCCACAAAACGCCAACTCATACAAAGCAATAGTGAACGATGAGGCGATGGTAGAGCCAACAATGGTTAATGGCAACAGCAATAGCAACAAAAGTAAAAAAGCGACCGTAACGAGTTAGATAGAGATAGCGAGAAATGAAAAGATGAAAAACGCCGAATATCTAACGCTCGTTGTTGGCGGATATGTTCTGTTATTTCGATATCATTGTGTCAGCCATTACACTTTCTGCCGTTCGCATATTTATAGATGCTCTTTGTACGGCCGCACTGGGTGTGTGTGTGTGTGTGTGTTGCCCCGTTGCTCTGTTGCCTTTGAACGCTTTTAACATTTAATGCATAGCATTTCTCGTTCCATCGTCGATTCAATCCTCGTTCAATATCATCGGCACATTGATGTTGCTGCTAGTGCTTTGGTGGTGTTCCAATCATTCCATTTCATTCATTTCGCCTGGCATTTGGGTTCGGGTGACGGTGGCGTTTTTTTTTCTTTCGTTCTTCCTTCCGTCTCTTTTTGCCTATTGCAAAGGCAACATCACCATTTGCCGTCACCGAGCGTGTATTTTGCTGCGATGTCAGCTAAAAACGGTGTATTTTTGCTCTCTTAGATCGGGATAAAAATCGATTTATCTATAGATTTGCATTGTCTCTTTTTTGCATGGGATTTTTGTCTCCTTTTATTTAATTCCGATGTGTGTGTGTGCGCGCGCGCTCTCATTCCAGCATCTGTCGAACCAAATACCCCGTTCAGTTAATAGAACAGTTACGGATGATGGGGTTTTGCTTTTGCTATTTCTAGCTCTCTATTATAATGCGCTTGGCGCTCTATACTCTGCCATTTCATTTCTCTCTATCTCTCGCTCTTTTGGTTTTTGTATTGTTGTTGTTGTTTTTTCTTCTCCTTCTCTTCGTCGACACACACACACGAAAAGCGTGTTGGCATGGATTCGCTCCATTCTCGATTCGCTATCTCACCCATCCCTCTCTCTCTCTTTCTCTCTCTCTCTCTGTGTGTGTGTGTCCCTCTCTTACTCACTCTACATAAAACATCCATTTCACTCGCATTCACTCTTAATGGAGGTTTGAATTGTGCGCTTTAGTGTAGGATTAACGGTAAATGATGGAACTCACATTAAATTGAATTAGACTCTTATTTGTGATGTATTGCGATTTACGAATGCCATTGGCATCCATTGCTCTGAACGAGCTAGTGTACGAGTGCGCGCGCGAAACACAGCGAACACCAAGCCATTTAATGGATTCAATGTATATGATGGTTATTGGGTGGTACACTGCTGCTGCCACTGCTTTTTCACTCAATATGCTAACTTAATCTGATGAATTGATCAAAAACGCTGATGCTTGTGCTTTTGCCATTCATCAAACTTAACTAAATTTCGGATTCAAGTTAATGAAGCATTCAAGATAAAGCGCTTGCTCCCCTCATCCTATCTCGCTCTTTTTTTTTATTTTCATCATTTGGAAGGAGAGCAGCTTTTTTTTTCCTCAATTTCTGGTTTTGTGACAGAAAAATAAACATTCGAAAATCATGAACATCGCGGGAATTTGTGTTCAAATTAAAAACCAGCCGAAAATGCAATTCGACTTCAAGAAATGAAAAAAAACAGCAACAATTACAACATTGAAACCAAAGTGTGGGAAATGTGAGAGTAAACAATTGGCATTTTTTGTAGTCGCATAAATTGCTCACACACAAAGTAGGTTTACGAGTTTTGTCGTTTGGCTTACGCTAGCATCTTCAACGCTTCTGTCATACATTACCGTTTTATTTGCTGGCATTTTGTTGGCGTGCTTTTTTTGTTCATGTCTTTTCATTCATACATTTGCCATGTCTCATTCGTTCGCCGACACTTACACACACAATTCCTTAGCTTGTCATATTTTATTCGCATTTTGCCATTATTTTATGCCGAGTGGCATGGAAATAAATGGCGTTAGCAGCAAGCAGAAACCAATGGGATGAAGTCGGCTTTAGTGAAAAGTATATAAATTTTATTTAAAAAACATTTTATATGCGCACATGATATAAGAAGCCAAGTGAGTGTAGGAGAAACCGTGTGTTTCATCATAGCCGCCGCCAAAATGTAAAATGAATCACAAGATGAAGCTCAAAACAGCGAGCAGAAATAATATGCCGTTTCTGCCATTTGGTGTAATTTTATTTTCGCTAAGAATGAAACGAGAATACGCGTACACACACTAAAGAGAAAGTAAGACAGAGAGTGAGAGAAAGAGAAAAGAAGTGAATGGGAGCATTAAAGGCATGGCATTATAAGTAAAGGCCATTTTTTCGTATCTTGAAATATTTGTGAATCGCATCAGCGTTTTTGGTGAGCACACTAGGGTGTTTTCGGCATCGTTCAATCGAAAAATGGTAAGTCTCATTCGATAGATCACAGAATTCTGAGTCGATTGATAAAGTTTTTGTCGCGGATGGACTTGTGGTGACACTTCCGGAAACTAAAAACAAAAAATGTTTTATTCTGAATTTCTATAGTAACGTGTGACAACTAGATCCAATTTTATGTTTTTTTGTCAAATTTTTGCTTGCAAATTTCAAATCAAATCTGGTTGTCAAAGGTTACTATGGAAATTCAGAATAAAACTGTTTTTGTTTTCAGCTTCGGGAAGTGTCATCACAAGTCCATCCGCGACAAAAATATTATCAATCGACTCAGAATTCTGACATCTATCGAATGAGGCATACCATTTTTTGATTAAACGATGCCGAAAACACCCTAGTGCACACGACATTGTTGTTGTCATCGTCGTTCCGGTTCGATGTTTCACGTTGTTGTTATCCTCCTTTGGCTTTCTTTTCCATTTTATTTGCCCGTACATTTACGTTCATTCATTCGTTTACTGAGCGAACGCCGAAAAAGTTTCTTTTTCGCAATGGTTCGGCGCAAAAGTCTCCCCATTCCGACGAGCCAACGCCAGTTTTTCCAGTCGAGTCATGCGAGCGTCATAAAGTAATCCGATTGGTGCATCATCTGTTATATATGACTACTATAACATCGTTGCTCTCTTCCCATTCATCGCTCGCGGCCCTCGTGTACGCTTCACATTTTCATGTGCACAGTTGTGGGTGCGTGTCTTTTTTTTTCCTTTCTCGCAGCAAACTTTTCGTACAAAAATGATTTTATTGCGCAATTTTTAGTTTTTCCATTCGATTTTTTTTTTCGTTTCCTTCACATCTTTTTCCATGCTTATTCCAATCATTTCCGTCTATCCACGTGAGTTTAGTTTGGAAGAGAGCAAGAGCAAGATGAAATAAAAGCTTTGGCTCACCATGTACACGATGTGTATGTAGTATATGTATGTGAAGCGAAAGTTGTTATTTTCGATTCGGTTATTAGTTTCTATTGTTTTCTGTCACGTTCTCGTAGCACGATTGCTGCGAGCCAACGAGTAGTCTCTCTCTCTCTCTCCTCTCTCTCTCTTCCCGAAAATGCATTTCTCCTTATAATTTTTCCTTTTCCTCCAAGGCAAGAAAGTAATGACGCATTTGATAGCCCTCCTCCTA